CGTAAGTATATCCGATTATATGATGGTCCGACTGCATTCTGTCCCCTATCAACTCTTTTTAAACTTTTAGTGACAACGAGAATGAGATAAGAAAGAAGTCAAGACGACTAGCTTGATTGAGTCTCCGCCATGTATATCTCACTAGATCAGGATATTTAAGCCTCCATATATCTACTAGTTCTAATGTATCCATGACATTCACAATTTCCTTAAGAGCATGTGGGTGATTGTTTGTGGTGTGATTTCCTTTACGGTCCATTGAGCTATTTAAAACAGTATTATAATCCCCCACCATAATAATATTATCTTGAATTGCTTGCAGGGTTGATAATTTATTATATATATTGTCAAAGTGTGGATCATCATTATTTGACTATAGTCAGTCTTAGTGTAATAGACTATAGTCAATTTGCAATACAGATAAGGGAGTCTTTCCCACTGGATTACCTTTCTCTTCAGCTTCAAACGAAACATAGAAAGAAAACACACTGATAAAATCAAGTGATATTGTGGAAATGTTAATCACTTACAATTTAAACTGGGATTTATGTTGCAGAAAGCTTTTAAATGACACATCAGCATTACAAAATAGATTCCCCTATCATTAGCATAATAGTTTTATTGTGGCGTAATTGTGAAATATAAAATATGTCTCCCTGGCTAGCTTTAGTACGTATCAGGGACTCTTAAATGGGCAAATGTATCCACACACACAACGGAACATGGGTCAATGGCAGACGGGATCGAGGTAATGATTAAATCGTTAAAATGTCGTCTACGCTTCACAGAGCAGAGAGAAAATTAACTTCCCACCGACCACATTTTTCTGCTGAACATGAAATAATGCTTTTGTGCCAGTCTAATTACAAAGCTTACATCTGATAGAGTCAGCATCCAGGGGGATTACTACATGCATGAGTATTAGACCTCATTACCAGCTTGACTGCTAAATTATTACATCTTGTAATTGGATGGTGAGATTCATACTCAGATTGGCCGGGTTTCTGTAAGATTGTAATTACAGGCTTGGTTGGTTTGCGACTTATCACAGTGAGCAGGATGAGATGTAACCCTATCACAGCACCCGTTCATCCCTCTGTTTATTAGACCAAACATAGCTGTTTGGTGAAGGGGAGACATTTATTACCAGCTGACAAATGGGGGGGGGGGGGGGTTCATTTATTTAACCTGGCTGATCTATTTCAGCAGAATGTAGAAACAAGCCATCCGTTTTATGATTGAGTCAACGCCTCCATTATCTAGAGGCTAACTGACTGGTAAAGCACCCATCTGCCAGCTGATTTCATTTACCTTATGTTACTGAACACACACTGCTATAGGAAATAGGAAAAAATACACATACCATCAACTTTGCTTCAGTGTGTGTGTGTGTGTGTGTGTGCGTGTGCGTGTTCGTCCAGTGTGTGTGTGTGTGTGTGTGTGCGCGCATTTGAATGTGCTATTATGTATGCTATTGTTGATCTGGCTGTGTCAAAACTACAGTCAGATTTTATAGTAATGCAGGAATCCCTTGCTGATTTAAAACTTGTGCTTAATAGGGGCAAAACGAAATACGTGTTGTTTTTAAATTCTCGTAAGAATATTTCAGATGAACTATATGTTCACTCATTAGATGGTTGTCCAATCGAACGTGTTCCTGCATATACAGTGCATTCGGAAAGTATTCAGACCCCTTACCTGTTTCCACATTTTGTTATGTTACAGCCTTACTCTAAAATGGATTAAATAAAAAAAAATCCTAATCAATCTACACACAATACCCAATAATGACAAAGCGATAACAGGTTTTTAGATTTTTTTGCAAATGTATAAAAAATACAAAACTGAAATTTCTTATTTACATAAGTATTCAGACCCTTTGCTATGAGTCTCGAAATTGAGCTCAGGTGCATCCTGTTTCCATTGATCATCCTTAAGATGTTTCTACAACTTGATTGGAGTCCACCTGTGGTAAATTCAATTGATTGGAAAGCCATACACCTGTCTATAAACGGTCCCACAGTTGACAGTGCATGTCATAGCAAGAACCAAGCCAAGAGTTCGAAGGAATTGTCCGTAGAGCTCTGAGACAGGATTGTGTCGATGCAGAGATCTGGGGAAGGGTGCAAAAAAATTTCTGCAGCATTTAAGGTCCCCAAGAACACAGTGGCCTCCAACATTCTTAAATGGAAGAAGTTGGGAACCGCCAAGACTCTTCCTAGAGCTGGCCGCCCGACCAAACTGATTAATCGGGGGAGAAGGGCCTTGGTCAGGGAGGTGACCAAGAACCCGATGGTCACTCTGACAGAGCTCCAGAGTTCCTCTCTGGAGATGGGAGAACCTTCCAGAAGGACAACCATCTCTGCAGCACTCCACCAACAGGTCTTTATGGTAGAGTGGCCAGACGGAAGCCACTCCTCAGTAAACGGCACATGACAGCCGCTTGGAGATTGCCAAAAGGCAATTATCTGGTCTGATGAAACCAAGAACTCTTTAACCTGAATGCCAAGTGTCACGTCTGGAGGAAACCTGGCACCATCCCTACGGTGAAGCATGGTGGTGGCAGTATCATTCTGTGGGGGTGTTCTTCAGCGGCAGGGCTGGGAGACTAGTCAGGATCAATGGAAAGATGAACGGAGCAAAGTACAGAGAGATCCTTGATGAAAACCTGCTCCAGAGCGCTCAGGACCTCAGACCAGGGCGAAGGTTCACCTTCCAACAGGACAACGACTCTAAGCACACAGCCAATACAACGCAGGAGTGGCTTCGGGACAAGTCTCTGAATGTCCTTGAGTGGCCCAGCCAGAGCCCGGACTTGAACCCGATCGAACAACTCTGGAGAGACCTGAAAATAGCTGTGCAGCGACACTCCCCATCCAACCTGACAGAGCTTGAGAGGATCTGCAGAGAAGAATGGGAGAAACTCCCCAAATACAGGTGTGCCAAGCTTGTAGTGTCACACCAAATAAGATTCAAGGCTGTAATCGCTGCCAAAGGTGCTTCAACAAAGTACTGAGTAAAGGGTCTGAAAACGTATGTAAATGTTATATATTTTTCATTTTCTTACAAACATTTCTAAAGACCTGTTTTTGCTTTGTCATTATGGGGTATTGTGTGTAGATTGACAAGGGGGAAAAAACAATTGAATCAATTTTAGAATAAGACTGTAACGTAACAAAATGTGGAAAGAGTCAAGGGGTATGAATACTTCTGGACTGTATACTGCTGATTTTGTTTTTACTTATTCTTCAGCACAACAACATCAGCAGTATATTACTGTATAATATATGTATATAGTGGGGGAAAAAAATATTTAGTCAGCCACCAATTGTGCAAGTTCTCCCACTTAAAAAGATGAGAGAGGCCTGTAATTTTCATCATAGGTACACGTCAACTATGACAGACAAATTTAGATTTTTTTTCTCCAGAAAATCACATTGTAGGATTTTTTATGAATTTATTTGCAAATTATGGTGGAAAATAAATATTTGGTCACCTACAAACAAGCAAGATTTCTGGCTCTCACAGACCTGTAACTTCTTCTTTAAGAGGCTCCTCTGTCCTCCACTCGTTACCTGTATTAATGGAACCTGTTTGAACTTGTTATCAGTATAAAAGACACCTGTCCACAACCTCAAACAGTCACACTCCAAACTCCACTATGGCCAAGACCAAAGAGCTGTCAAAGGACACCAGAAACAAAATTGTAGACCTGCACCAGACTGGGAAGACTGGATCTGCAATAGGTAAGCAGCTTGGTTTGAAGAAATCAACTGTGGAGCAATTATTAGGAAATGGAAGACATACAAGACCACTGATAATCTCCCTCGATCTGGGGCTCCACGCAATATCTCACCCCGTGGGGTCAAAATGATCACAAGAACGGTGAGCAAAAATCCCAGAACCACACGGGGGGACATAGTGAATGACCTGCAGAGAGCTGGGACCAAAGTAACAAAGCCTACCATCAGTAACACACTACGCCGCCAGGGACTCAAATCCTGCAGTGCAAGACGTGTCCCCCAGCTTAAGCCAGTACATGTCCAGGCCCGTCTGGAGTTTGCTAGAGTGCATTTGGATGATCCAGAAGAGGATTGAGAGAATGTCATATGGTCAGATGAAACCAAAATAGAACTTTTTGGTAAAAACTCAACTTGTCGTGTTTGGAGGACAAAGAATGCTGAGTTGCATCCAAAGAACACCTTACATACTGTGAAGCATGGGGGTGGAAACATCATGCTTTGGGGCTGTTTTTCTGCAAAGGGACCAGGACGACTGATCCGTGTAAAGGAAATAATGAATGGGGCCATGTATCGTGAGATTTTGAGTGAAAACCTCCTTCCATCAGCATGGGCATTGAAGATGAAACGTGGCTGGGTCTTTCAGCATGACAATGATCCCAAACACACCGCCCGGGCAACGAAGGAGTGGCTTCGTAAGAAGCATTTCAAGGTCCTAGAGTGGCCTAGCCAGTCTCCAGATCTCAACCCCATAGGAAATCTTTGGAGGGAGTTAAAAGTCCGTGTTGCCCAGCAACTGCCCCAAAACATCACTGCTCTAGAGGAGATCTGCATGGAGGAATGGGCCAAAATACCACCAACAGTGTGTGAAAACCTTGTGAAGACTTACAGAAAATGTTTGACCTGTGTCATTGCCAACAAAGGGTATATAACAAAGTATTGAGAAACTTTTGTTATTGACCAAATACTTATTTTCCACCATCATTTGCAAATAAATTCATTACAAAATCCTACAATGTGATTTTCTGGATTTTTTTTCTTCTCATTTTGTCTGTCATAGTTGACGTGTACCTATGATGAAAATTATAGGCCTCTCTCATCTTTTTAAGTGGGAGAACTTGCACAATTGGTGGCTGACTAAATACTTTTTTTCCCCACTGTATACACTGCTCAAAAAATAAAGGGAACACTAAAATAACACATCCTAGATCTGAATAAATGAAATAATCTCATTAAATACTTTTTTCTTTACATAGTTGAATGTGCTGACAACAAAATCACACAAAAATTATCAATGGAAATCAAATGTATCAACCCATGGAGGTCTGGATTTGGAGTCACCCTCAAAATTTAAGTGGAAAACCACACTACAGGCTGATCCAACTTTGATGTAATGTCCTTAAAACAAGTCAAAATGAGGCTCAGTAGTGTGTGTGGCCTCCACGTGCCTGTATGACCTCCCTACAACGCCTGGGCATGCTCCTGATGAGGTGGCGGATGATCTCCTGAGGGATCTCCTCCCAGACCTGGACTAAAGCATCCGCCAACTCCTGGACAGTCTGTGGTGCAAAGTGGCGTTGGTGGATGGAGCGAGACATGATGTCCCAGATGTGCTCAATTGGATTCAGGTCTGGGGAATGGGTGGGCCAGTCCACAGCATCAATGCCTTCCTCTTGCAGGAACTGCTGACACACTCCAGCCACATGAGGTCTAGCATTGTCTTGCATTAGGAGGAACCCAGGGCCAACCGCACCAGCATATGGTCTCACAAGGGGTCTGAGGATCTCATCTCGGTACCTAATGGCAGTCAGGCTACCTCTGGCGAGCACATGGAGGGCTGTGCGGCCCCCCAAAGAAATGCCACCCCACACCATGACTGACCCACCGCCAAACCGGTCATGCTGGAGGATGTTGCAGGCAGCAGAACGTTCTCCACGGCGTCTCCAGACTCTGTCACGTCTGTCACGTGCTCAGTGTGAACCTGCTTTCATCTGTGAAGAGCACAGGCCGCCAGTGGCGAATTTGCCAATATTGGTGTTCTCTGGCAAATGCCAAACGTCCTGCACGGTGTTGGGCTGTAAGCACAACCCCCACCTGTGGACATCGGGCCCTCATACCACCCTCATGGAGTCTGTTTCTGACCGTTTGAGCAGACACATGCACATTTGTGGCCTTCTGGAGGTCATTTTGCAGGGCTCTGGCAGTGCTCCTCCTGCTCCTCCTTGCACAAAGGCGGAGGTAGCAGTCCTGCTGCTGGGTTGTTGCCCTCCTACAGCCTCCTCCACGTCTCCTGATGTACTGGCCTGTCTCCTGGTAGCGCCTCCATGCTCTGGACACTACGCTGACAGACACAGCAAACCTTCTTGCCACAGCTCGCATTGATGTGCCATCCTGGATGAGCTGCACTACCTGAGCCACTTGTGTGGGTTGTAGACTCCGTCTCATGCTACCACTAGAGTGAAAGCACTGCCAGCATTCAAAAGTGACCAAAACATCAGCCAGGAAGCATAGGAACTGAGAAGTGGTCTGTGGTCACCACCTGCAAAACCAGTCCTTTATTGGGGGTGTCTTGCTAATTGCCTATAATTTTCACCTGTTGTCTATTCCATTTGCACAACAGCATGTGAAATGTATTGTCAATCAGTGTTGCTTCCTAAGTGGACAGTTTGATTTCACAGAAGTGTGATTGACTTGGAGTTACATTGTGTTGTTTAAGTGTTCCCTTAATTTTTCTGAGCAGTCTATATGCCAATTATCTGATGGTCTGACCGCATTCTGTCCACTAAACACTTTTTAAACTTTTGGTGCCAATGAGATTGACATAAGAAAGAAGTCAAGACGACTAGCTTGATTGAGCCTCTGCCATGTATATCTCACTAGGTCAGGATATTTAAGCCTCCATATATCCACAAGTTCCAATATATCCATGACATTCACAATTTCCTTAAGAGCATGTGGGTGATTGTTTGTAGTGTGATTTCCTTTACGGTCCATTGAGGTATTTAAAACAGTATTATAATCTCCCACCATAATACTAGAGTATTGTATTGCATGCAGGGTTGATAATTTATTATATATATTTTCAAAGAAGCGTGTATCATTATTTGGACCGTATAGGTTAATGAGCCATATATGTTTATGGTCCAACAACATATTTAAAATCATCAATATACCTTGCGGATCTGTTTGGACAATTTGCACATTCAAATCAAAATTACTGTTAATTAATATCATCACCCCTTTTGAGTTTCTTTGCCCGTGGGAGAAGTATATTTCACCCCTAAAGTCCTTTTTCCACACAACTTCATCTAGAATTGTTGAATGAGTTTCCTGTAAAAAAAATAGATATTATATTCCTTCTCTTTGAGCCAGGTAAATATTGTACTTCTTTTCTTATTACCTGCTTATTACAATTATAACTGGCTATACTTATTTCACCATTTACCATAATGAGATACAAGTTTCAAATCTATTTATCGTAATATATGTTTGTAAATTACCATAAAAAAGTACCATAGTGATTGAGTGTCCATATAGCTGTACCATGATATTTGCATTGCTACTAAGTAACCCTCCAATTGTTCTCCACTATTCCACCCGCTAAAACCCCTCCCCATCCCAAGTTGGGTTGTCGTCCAAGTGACCGGCAGACCACCGTCATCCCCCTGGATCCCTAGGCCCCCCGAGAGGCCAGGACCCATCCTTCGAAACCAGCACACAGTGCCACCCACAGAACAGAAGCAGATCAACCGCTAAAAGTATTTTCAATGTCTCACCTCAATTTGCTTTATATATAGCTATTAAAAATATATATCTATTCAAATATCTTGTATATCTTAATTTCCATCATTAACAATTAATATGCGTAATAATGTTGGCAGTTCATGCAAAGGATTGTTACCTACAACCAGGAGTGCCATTGCATTCCATTACATTTTTGTCAAGCAATTATTATTTTAGCAACATTTCATCCTATATTGTCCCTAACATCCTTACCCTTTTGCAACAGATGTGGGATACACACACACACACACACACACACAAACACACACACACAAACAAACACACACACACACACACACTCTTACACACTCAACCCCTTTCCCCACAATCAACCATAAGCTCAGATGCTCAACGGTTGATACATCCCAACTCAAGAAAGGACCTGATTTACGAATGCATATACAGTTACAGCTGTTTGAGAAAGCATGCGATATTGCGAGATTGAGCAAAAATGTGATACTTGATCACTGTTAGTAGATACAGGATCATTGGTAGTAGATACAGAATATAGGATCACTGTCAGTAAATACAAACTACAGTATCACTGTTGGTAAATTAAAATACCTTGACTTTGTTGTCCTTAAGCCATTTTGCCACAACTTTGGAAGTATGCTTGGGGTCATTGTACATTTGGAAGACACATTTGCGACCAAGCTTTAACTTCCTGACTGATGTCTTGAGATGTTGCTTCAATATATCCACATCATTTTCCTTCCTCATGATGCCATCTATTTTGTGAAGTGCACCAGCCCCTCCTGCAGCAAAGTACCCCCCCAGCATCATGCTGCCACCCCTGTGCTTCACGGTTGGGATGGTGTTCTTCGGCTTGCAAGCCCCCCTTTTTCCTCCAAACATAACGATGGTCATTATGGCCAAACAGTTCTATTTTTATTTCATCAGACCAGAGCACATTTCTCCAAAAAGTACGATCTTTGTCCCCATGTGAAGTTGCAAACCGTAGTCTGGCTTTTTTATGGCGGTTTTGGAGCAGTGGCTTCTTCGTTGCTGAGCGGCCTTTCAGGTTATGTCGAAATAGGACTCGTTTTACTGTGGATATAGATACTTTTGTACCTGTTTCCTCCAGCATCTTCACAAGATCCTTTGCTGTTGTTCTGGGATTGATTTGAACTTTTCGCACCAAAGTACGTTCATCTCTAGGAGACAGAACGTGTCTCCTTCCTGAGCGGTATGATGGCTGCGTGGTCCCATGGTGTTTATACTTGCGTACTATTGTTTGTACAGATGAACGTGGTACTTTCAGGCATTTGGAAATTGCTCCCAAGGATGAACCAGACTTCTGGTGGTCTACAATTCTTTTTCTGAGGTCTTGGCTTATTTTATTTTATTTTCCCATGATGTCAAGCAAAGAGGCACTGAGTTTGAAGGTAGGTCTTGAAATACATCCACAGGTACACCTCCAATTGACTCAAATTATGTCAATAAGCCTATCAGAAGCTTCTAAAGCCATGACATCATTTTCTGGAATTTTCCAAGATGTTTAAAGGCACCGTCAACTTAGTATATGTAAACTTCTGACCCACTGGAATTGTGATATTGTAAATTATAAGTGAAATAATCTGTCTGTAAACAATTTTGGGAAAAATGACTTGTGTCATGCACCGACTTGCCAAAACTATAGTTTGTTAACAAGACATTTGTGGAGTGGTTGAAAAACAAGTTTTAATGACGCCAACCTAAGTGTATGTAAACTTCCAACTTCAACTGTACTTACAGTTATCCTGTATCTACTAACAGTGATCCTGTATCTACTAACAGTGATCCTGTATCTACTAATAGTGATCCTGTAGTATGTATATACTAACAGTTATCCTGTATCTACTAGCAGTTATCCTGTATCTACTAACAGTGATCCTGTATCTTATAACAGTGATCCTGTATCTACTAACAGTGATCCTGTATCTACTAACAGCGATCCTCTATCTACTAACAGCGATCCTGTATCTACTAACAGTGATCCTGTATCTACTAACAGTGATCCTGTATCTACTAACAGTGATCCTGTATCTACTAACAGCGATCCTCTATCTACTAACAGTGATCCTGTATCTACTAACAGTGATCCTGTATCTACTAACAGTGATCCTGTATCTACTAACAGTGATCCTGTATCTACTAACAGTGATCCTGTATCTACTAACAGTGATCCTGTATCTACTAACAGTGATCCTGTATCTACTAACAGTGATCCTGTATCTACTAACAGCGATCCCGTATCTACTAACAGCGATCCTCTATCTACTAACAGTGATCCTGTATCTACTAACATTGATCCTGTATCTACTAACAGTGATCCTGTATCTACTAATAGCGATCCTCTATCTACTAACAGTGATCCTGTATCTACTAACATGATCCTGTATCTACTGTATCGCCAACAGTGATCCTGTATCTACTAACAGTGACCTGTATCTACTAACAGTGATCCTGTATCTACTAACAGTGATCCTGTATCTACTAACAGTGATCCTGTATCTACTAACAGCTGATCTAACCGTCCTATCTACTAACAGTGATCCTGTATCTACTAACAGTGATCCTGTATCTACTAACAGCGATCCTCTATCTACTAACAGTGATCCTGTATCCACTAATAGTGATCCTGTAGTATGTATATACTAACAGTTATCCTGTATCTAATAGCAGTTATCCTGTATCTACTAACAGTGATCCTGTATCTATAATAGTGATACCTGTATCTACTAACATGATCCTTATCTACTAACAGTGATCCTGTATCTACTAACAGTGATCCTGTATCTACTAACAGCGATCCTCTATCACTAACTAACAAAGGATCCTGTATCTACTAACAGTGATCCTGTATCTACTAACAGTGATCCTGTATCTACTAACAGTGATCCTGTATCTACTAACAGTGATCCTGTATCTACTAACAGTGATCCTGTATCTACTAACAGTGATCCTGTATCTACTAACAGTGATCCTCTATCTACTAACAGTGATCCTGTATCTACTAACAGTGATCCTGTATCTACTAACAGTGATCCTGTATCCTATCCTAACACGGATCCTGTATCTACTAACAGCGATCCTCTATCTACTAACAGTGATCCTGTATCTACTAACATTGATCCTGTATCTACTAACAGTGATCCTGTATCTACTAATAGCGATCCTCTATCTACTAACAGTGATCCTGTATCTACTAACAGTGATCCTGTATCTACTAACAGTGATCCTGTATCTACTAACAGTGATCCTGTATCTACTAACAGTGATCCTGTATCTACTAACAGTGATCCTCTATCTACTAACAGTGATCCTGTATCTACTAACAGCGATCCTCTATCTACTAACAGTGATCCTGTATCTACTAACAGTGATCCTGTATCTACTAACAGCGATCCTCTATCTACTAACAGTGATCCTGTGTCTACTGACAGTGATCATTTATCTACTAACAGTGATCCTGTATCTACTAACAGTGATCCTGTATCTACTAACAGTGATCCTGTATCTACTAACAGTGATCCTGTATATACTAATACTGATCCTGTAGTATGTATCTACTAACAGTGATCCTGTATCTACTAACAGTGATCCTGTATCTACTAATAGTGATCCTGTAGTATGTATCTACTAACAGTTATCCTGTATCTATAAGCAGTGATGATGTGTATCTACTAACAGTGACCCTGTGTCTACTAACAGTGATCCTGAATTCTGTATCTACTAACAGTCATCCTGTATCTACTAATAGTGATTCTGTATCTACTAACAGTGATCCTGTATCTGCTAACAGTGATTCTGTATCTACTAAGAGTGATCCTGTATCTACTAACAGTGATCCTGTATCTACTAACAGTGATCCTGTATCTACTAATAGTGATCATGTATCTACTAATAGTGATCCTGTAGTCTGCATCTACTAACAGTCATCATGTATCTACTAAAGTTGATCCTGCAGTCTTAATTTACCAACAGTGAGAATGTTGTCTGTATTTATTGACAGTGATCCTATATTATGTATCTATTACCAATCATCCCGTATCCACTAACAGTTATCAAATATCAAATCTTTGCAAATGCTTGTCCAATCTCGCATGCTTTCTCAAACAGCTGTAACTGTATATGCATTCGTAAATCAGGTCCTGTCTTGAGTTGGGCTCCGGGATGTATCAACAGTTGAGCATCTGAGCTTATGGTTGATTGTGGGGAAAGTGGTTGAAAGTGTAAGAGTGTGTGTGTGTGTGTGTTTGTGTGTGTGTGTGTGTGTGTGTGTGTGTGTGTGTGTGTGTATCCCACATCTGTTGCAAGAGGGTAAGGATGTTAGGGACAATATAGGATGATTCACAAATGTTCGCTAAAATAATAATTGCTTGACAAAAATGTAATATAATGCAATGGCACTCCTGGTTGTAGGTAACAATCCTTTGCATGAACTGCCAACATTATTACGCATATTAATTGTTAATGATGGCAAAGCACCCCCACAGCATGATGCTGCCACCCCCGTTCTTCAGGGTTGGGATGGTGTTCTTTGGCTTGCAAGCTCGCCCTTTTTCCTCCAAACATAACGATGGTCATTATAGCCAAACATTTCTATATTTGTTTCATCAGACCAGAGGATATTTCTCCAAAAAGTACCATCTTTATCCCCATGTGCAGTTGCAAACCGTAGTCTGGCTTTTTTATGGCGGTTTTGGAGCAGTGGCTTCTTCCTTGCTGAGCGGCCTTTCAGGTAATGTCGATATAGTACTTGTTTTACTGTGGATATAGATACTTTTGTTCCTGTGTCCTCCAGCATCTTCACAAGGTCCTTTGCTGTTGTTCTGGGATTGATTTTCACTTTTTGCACCAAAGTACGTTCATCTCTAGGAGACAGAACGCTTCTCCTTCCTGAGCGGTATGGCGGCTGCGTGGTCCCATGGTGTTTATACTTGTGTACTATTGTTTGTACAGATGAACGTGGTACCTTCAGGCATTTGGAAATTGCTCCCAAGGATGAACCAGACTTGTGGAGGTCTACAATGTTTTTTTGAGGTCTTGGCTGTTTTCTTTTGATTTTCCCATGATGTCAAGCAAAGAGGCACTGGTTTGAAGGTAGGCCTTGAAATACATCCACAGGTACACCTCCAATTGACTCAAATTATGTCAATTACCCTATCAGAAGCTTCTAAAGCCATGACATAATTTTCTGGAATTTTCCAAGCTGTTTAAAGGCACAGTCAACTTAGTGTATGTAAATGTCTGACCCACTGGAATTGTCAAACAGTGAATTATAAGTGAAATTATCTCTCTGTAAACAATTGTTGGAAAAATTACTTGTGTCATGCACAAAGTAAATGTCCTAACTGACTTGCCAAAACTAAGAGTTTGTAAATTTCTGACTTCAACTGTACATACCAAAGGATCACTGTTACTAGATACAGACTGCAGGATAATTTATTTATAACTGTTAGTAGATAGATTATCACTGTTAGTAGATACATAATCACTGTTAGTAGATACAATATCACTGTTAGTATATACCGGATAACTGTTAGTACATAGCGGATCACTGTTAGTAAATACAGACTACAGGATCACCTTTAGTAGATACAGGATCACTATTAGTAGATACAGGATCACTGTTAGTAGATATAGGATCACTGTTACTAGATACAGGATCACTGTTAACAGATACAGGATCACTGTTAGTAGATACTGGATCGCAGTTAGTAGATCCAGCATCATTGCTAGTAGATACAGGATCACTGTTAGTAAATCCAGATTACAGGTTCACTGTTAGTAGATACAGACTGAAGGATCACTGTTACTAGATACAGACTGCATGTTCACTGTTAGTAAATACAGGATCATTGTTAGTAAATACATTAACACTATTAGTAAATACAGACTACATGATCAGAGTTAGTAAAACATGATCACTGTTAGTAGATACAGGATCAGTTGTTGTACATACAGGATCACTGCTAGTGGATACAGGATCACTGTTAGTAGATACAAACTACATGATCACTAGTAGTAAATAAAGACTACATGATCACTGTTAATAGATACAGGATAACTGCTAATCGATACAGGATCACTGCTAGTCGATACAGGATCACTGTTAGTAGATACAGGATCACTGCTAGTCGATACAGGATCACTGTTAGTAGATACAGGATCACTGTTAGTATATACAGGATCACTGTTAGTAGATACAGGTTCACTGCTAGTCGATATAGGATCACTGTTAGTAGATACAGGATCACTGCTAGTCGATACAGGATCACTGTTAGTAGATACAGGATCACTGTTAGTAGATACAGATTATAGGATCCCTGTTAGTAGATACAGGATCACTGCTTGTCGATACAGGATCAATGTTAGTAGATACAGGATCACTGTTAGTAGATACAGAATATAGGATCACTGTTAGTAAATACAGTATCACTGTTGGTAAATACAGACAACAGGATCACCTATAGTAGATACAGGATCACAGTTAGTAGCTACAGGATCACTGTTAATAGATACAAGATCACTGTTAGTAGATAATGGATCACTGTTAGTAGATACAGGATCACTGTTAGAAGATACAGGATCATTGTTAGTAGATACAGGATCACTGTAAGTAGATACATGATCACTGTTAGTAGATAAAGGATCACTGTTAGTAGATACAGAATCACTGTTAGTAGATACAGGATCATTGTTAGTAAATACAGGATCACAGTTAGTAGATACAGGATCACTGTTAGTAGATACAGGATCATTGTTAGTAGATACAGGATCACTGTTAGTAGATACAGGATCACTGTTAGTAGATAAAGAATCACTGTTAGTAGATAAAGGATCACTGTTAGCAGATACAGGATCACTGTTAGTAGATAAAGGATCACTGTTAGTAGAAACAGGATCACTGATTTAGATACAGGATCACTGTTAGGAGATGTAGGATAAATTGTTTTACATACAGTATCACTTTTAGTATATACAGAATATAGGATCACTGTTAGTAAATACATACTACAGTATTACTGTTAGTAGATACAGGATACATGTTAGTAGATACATACTACAGGATCACGGTTAGTAAATACAGGATCACAGTTAGTAGATACAGGATCACTGTTAGTGGATACAGAATCATTGTTAGTAGTTACAGGATCACTGTTAGTAGATACAGGATCACTGTTAATAGATACAGGATCACTGTTAGTAGATACAGGATGACTGTTACTTGATACAGGATCACTGTTAGTAGATTCATGATCAATGTTAGTCGATACAGGATCACTGTTAGTAGATACAGGATCACTGTTAGTAGAAACATAATCACTGTTAGTAGATACAGGATCAATGTTAGTAGATACATACTGCAGGATCACTTTTAGCAGATTCAGGATCGATGTTAGTGGAAGCAGGATCACTGTTAGTAGATACAGAATATCTGATGTAGATACAGGATCACTGTTAGTAGATACAGGATCACAGTTAGTAGATGCAGGATCAATGTTAGTAGATACATGATCACTGTTAGTAGATACATGATCACTGTTAGTAGATACAGGATTACTGTTAGTAGATACAGGATCAATGTTATTAGATAAAGCATCACTGTTAGTAGATACAGATTACAAATTCACTGTTAGTAAATACAGATTACAGATTTACTGTTAGTAAATACAGACTACAGGATTAGTGTTAGTAGATAAAGGATCACTGTTAGTAGATACCTACTGAAAGATCACTGTTACTAGATACAGACTAAATTATCACGGTTAGTAAATACATTATCACTATTAGTAAATACAGACTACATGGTCACTGTTAGTAAATACATACCACAGGAATACTGTTAGTAGATACAGGATCACTGATAGTAGATACAGGATCAATTGTTGTACATAGAGAATCGTTGGTAGTCAATACAGGATCACTGCTAGTCGATACAGGTTCTCTGTTAGTAGATTCATACTGCAGGATCACAGTTAGTAGATACAGGATCACTGTAAGTAGATACATACTACAAGATCAGTGTTAGTAAATACAGATTACAGGTTCACAGTTTGAAAATACAGACCACAGGATAACTGTTAGTTGATACAGGATCACAGTTACTAAATACAGGATAACTGTTAGCAGGTACAGGATCACTTTTAATAGATACAAGATCACTGTTAGTAGATACAGGATCACAGTTAGTAGATACGGTCTACAGGATCACTGTTAATAGATAAGGATCACTGTTATTAAATACAGACTACAGAATCACTGGTAGTAAATACAGACTACAGGATCACTGTTAGTAAATACAGACTACAGGATCACTGTTAGTAAATACAGACTACAGGATCACTGTTAGTAGATACAGACTACAGGATCACTGTTAGTAAATACAGACTACAGGATCACTGTTAGTAAATACAGACTACAGGATCACTGTTAGTAAATACAGACTACAGGATCACTGTTAGTAAATACAAACTACAGGATCACTGGTAGTAAATACAGACTACATGATCACTGTTAGTAAACACAGACTACAGGATCACTGGTAGTAAATACAGACTACAGGATCCCTGTTAGTAAATATAGACTACAGCATCACTGTTAGTAAATACAGACTATATGATCACTGTTAGTAAATAGAAACTACATGATCACTGTTAGTAAATACAGAATATTAGATCACTGTTAGTAAATACATACTACAGGATCATTGTTAGTAAATACAGAATATATGATCACTGTTATTAAATACAGACTACAGGATCACTGTTAGTAGATAAATAATCAATGTTAGTGTATAGAGTCTACAGGATTACTGTTAGTAGATACAGGATCACTGTTAGTAGATGCAGGATCACTGTTAGTAGATACAGGATCACTGTTAGTAGATGCAGGATCACTGTTAATAGATTCAGGATCGCTGTTAGTAGATACAGGATCACTGTTAGTAGAAACATAATCACTGTTAGTAGATACATTATCACTGTTAGTAGATACAGGATCACTGTTAGTAGATACAGGATCACTGTTAGTAGATACAGGATCACTGTTAGTAGATACAGGATCACTGTTAGTAGATACAGGATCACTGATGTAGATACATGATCACTGTTAGTAGATACAGGATCACTGTTAGTAGATACAGGATCACTGTTAGTAGATACAGGATCAATGTTAGTAGATACAGGATCACTTTTAGTAGATACAGGATCAATGTTAGTAGATACATACCACAATATATCTGTTAGTAGATACAGGATCATTGTTATTAGATAAAGGATCAATGTTAGTAAATACATATTACTGATTCACTGTTAGTAAATACAGACTACAGGATTACTGTTACTAGATGCAGACTACAGGATGACTGTTAGTAGATACAGGATCACTGTTAGTAGATACCTACTGAAGGATCACTGTTACTAGATACAGACTAAATGATCACTGTTAGTAGATGCAGGATCACTGATAGTAGATACAGGATCAATTGTTGTACATAGAGGATCGTTGCTAGTCAATACGTGATCACTGCTAGTCGATACACTTTTCTCTGTTAGTAGATTCATACTGCAGGATCACTGTTAGTAGATACAGAGTATAGGATCACTGTTAGTAAATACAGATTACAGGTTCCAGTTTGAAAATACAGACCACATGATGACTGTTATTAAATACAAACTACATCACTGTTAGTAAGTACAGACTACATAATCACTGTTACTAGATACAGGATAACTGTTAGCAGATACAGGATCACTGTTAATAGATGCAGGATCACTGTTAGTAGATACAGGATCACAGTTAGTAGATACAGTCTACAGGATCACTGTTAGTAGATACACCATTAATGTTAGTAGATACAAACTGTAGGATCACTGTTAGTAGAGACAGGATCACTGTTAGTAGATACAGATTCACTATTACTAGATACAGGATTACTGTTAGTACATACATACCACATGATCACTGTTGCTAGATACAGACTGCAGGATCACTGTTAGTAGATACAGGATTACTGTTAGTAGATACAGGATCAATGTTAGTAGATACAGGATTACTGTTAGTAGATACAGGATCACTGTTAGTAGATACAGGATCAATGTTAGTAGATACAGGATCACTGCTAATAGATACAGGATCAATGTTAGTAGATACAGCATCACTGTAAGTAGATACATGAACACTGTTAGTAGATACAGGATTACTGTTAGTAGATACAAGATCAATGTTATTAGATACAGGATCACTGTCAGTAGATACAGGATCACTGTTAGTAGACACAGGATCACTGATATAGATACAGGATCACTGTTTATAGATACAGGATCACTGTTAGTAGATATATACTACAGGATCACTGTTAGTAAATACAGGATCACTGTTAGTAGATACAGACTACAGGATCACTGTTAGTAGATACATGATCACTGTTAGTAGATACATGATCACTATTAGTAGATACATGATCACTGTTAGTAGATACAGGATCACTATTAGTAGATACATGATCACTGTTAGTAGATACAGGATCACTATTAGTAGATACATAATCACTGTTAGTACATACAGGATCACTGTAAGTAGATACAGGATCACTGTTATTAAATACAAACTACATGATCACTCTTATTAAATACAAACTAAACAATCATTGTTAGAAAATATAGACCACAGGATCACTGTTAATAGATGCAGGATCACAGATCACCTTTAGAGGATCCATGATGATTGTTAGTGGATACAGACTACATGATCACTGTTAGTAGATACAGGATCACTGTTATTAGATACAGGATCAATGTTAGTAGATACTGGATCATTGTTAGTAGATACATGATCATTGTTAGTAGATACAGGATCACTATTAGTAGATAAATGATCACTGTTAGTAGATACAGGATCACTGTTAGTAGATACAGGATCACTGTCAGTAGATACAGGATCACTGTTAGTAGATACAGGTTCACTGATGTAGATTCAGGATCACTGTTCATAGATACAGGATCACTGTTAGTAGATACATACTACAGGATCACTGTTAGTAAATACAGGATCACTGTTAGTAGATACAGGATCAATGTTAGTAGATACAGGATCACTGTCAGTAGATACAGGAACACTGTTAATAGACCCAGGATCACTGATGTAGATACAGGATAACTGTTTATAGATACAGGATCACTGTTAGTAGATACATACTACAGGATCACTGTTAGTAAATACATGATCTCTTTTAGTTGATACTGGATCACTGTTAGTAGATACAGATTAAATGATCACTCTTATTAATATAAACTGCATGTTCACTGTTAGTAAATACAGATTTCAGGTTCACTGTTAGTAAATACAGATTACAGGTTCACTGTTAGTAAATACAGATACAGGATCACTGTTAGTAAATACAGACTCCATGATCACTGTTAGTTGATGCAGACTGAAGGATCACTGTTACTAGATACAGACTGCAGGATCGCTTTTAGTAGATACATTATCAATGTTAATAGACACAGGATCACTGTTAGTAAATACAGGCTAAATGATCACTGGTAGTAAATACAGACTACAGGATCACTGTTAGTAAATACAGACTACAGGATCACTTTTAGTAAATACAGACTATAGGATCACTGTTAGTAAATACAGACTACAGAATCACTGTTAGTAAATACAGATTACATGATCACTGTTAGGAAATACAAACTACAGGACCACTGGTAGTAAATACAGACTACAGGATCACTGGTAGTAAACAAAGACTACAGGATCACTGGTAGTAAATACAGACTACAGAATCCCTGTTAGTAAATATAGACTACAGCATCACTGTTAGTAAATACAGAATATATGATCACTGATATTAAATACAGACTACAGGATCACTGTTAGTAGATAAATAATCAATGTTAGTAGATACAGTCTACAGGATTACTGTTAGTAGATACAGGATCACTGTTAGTAGATGCAGGATCACTGTTAGTGGATTCAGGATCGCTGTTAGTAGACACATGATCACTGTTAGTAGAAACATAATCACTGTTAGTAGATACAGGATCACTGATGTAGATACATGATCACTGTTAGTAGATACAGGATCACTGTTAGTAGATACAGGATCACTGTTAGTAGATACAGGATCAATGTTAGTAGATACAGGATCACTGTTAGTAGATACAGGATCAATGATAGTAGATACATACCACAAGATATCTGTTAAGTAGATACAGGATCATTGTTATTAGATAAAGGATCACTGTTAGTAGATACAGATTACAGATTCACTGTTAGTAAATACAGACTACAGGATTACTGTTAGTAGATACAGACTACAGGATGACTGTTAGTAGATACAGGATCAATGTTAGTAGATACATACTACAAGATATCTGTTAGTAGATACAGGATAATTGTTATTAGATAAAGGATCACTGTTAGTAAATACAGATTACAGATTCACTTTTAGTAAATACAGACTACAGGATTACTTTTAGTAGATACAGACTACAGGATGACTGTTAGTAGATACAGGATCACTGTTAGTAGATACCTACTGAATGATCACTGTTACTAGATACAGACTAAATGATCACTGTTAGTAGTTGCAGGTTCACTGATAGTAGATACAGGATCAATTGTTGTACATGGATGATCGTTGCTAGTCAATACGTGATCACTGCTAGTCGATACACTTTTCTCTGTTAGTAGATTCATACTGCAGGATCACTGTTAGTAGATACAGAGTATAGGATCACTGTTAGTAAATACAGATTACAGGTTCACAGTTTGTAAATACAGACCACGTGATGACTGTTATTAAATACAAACTACATCACTGTTAGTAAGTACAGACTACATAATCACTGTTACTAGATACAGGATAACTGTTAGCAGATACAGGATCACAGTTAGTAGATACAGTCTACAGGATCACTGTTAGTAGATACACCATTAATGTTAGTAGATACAAACTGTAGGATCACTGTTAGTAGAGACAGGATCACTGTTAGTAGATACAGATTCACTGTTACTAGATACAGGATTACTGTTAGTACATACATACCACATGATCACTGTTGCTAGATACAGACTGCAGGATCACTGTTAGTAGATACAGGATTACTGTTAGTAGATACAGGATCAATGTTAGTAGATACAGGATTACTGTTAGTAGATACAGGATCACTGTTAGTAGATACAGGATCAATGTTTGTAGATACAGGATCACTGCTAGTAGATACAGGATCAATGTTAGTCGATGCAGGATCAATGTAGGTATATATAGGATCACTGTAAGTAGATACATGATCACTGTTAGTAGATACAGGATTACTGTTAGTAGATACAGGATCAATGTTAGTAGATACAGGATCAATATTATTAGATACAGGATCACTGTCAGTAGATACAGGATCACTGTTAGTAGACACAGGATCACTGATATAGATACAGGATCCCTGTTTATAGATACAGGATCACTGTTAGTAGATACATACTGCAGGATCACTGTTAGTAAATACAGGATCACTGTTAGTAGATACAGACTACAGGATCACTGTTAGTAGATACAGGGTCACTGTTAGTAGATACATGATCACTATTAGTAGATACATGATCACTGTTAGTAGATACAGGATCACTATTAGTAGATACATGATCACTGTTAGTAGACACAGGATCACTATTAGTAAATACATAATCACTGTTAGTAGATACAGGATCACTGTTAGTAGATACAGGATCACTGTTATTAAATACAAACTACATGATCACTGTTATTAAATACAAACTACACGATCATTGTTAGAAAATACAGACAACAGGATCACTGTTAATAGATGCAGGATCACAGATCACCTTTAGAGGATCCATGATGATTGTTAGTGGATACAGACTACATGATCACTGTTAGTAGATACAGGATCACTGTTAGTAGATACATGATCATTGTTAGTAGATACAGGATCACTATTAATAGATACATGATCACTGTTAGTAGATACAGGATCACTGTTAGTAGATACAGGATCACTGTCAGTAGATACAGGATCACTGATGTAGATTCAGGATCACTGTTTATAGATACAGGATCACTGTTAGTAGATACATACTACAGGATCACTGTTAGTAAATACAGGATCACTGTTAGTAGATACAGTATCACTGTTAGTAGATACAGGATCACTGTCAGTAGATACAGGATCACTTTTAGTAGACCCAGGATCACTGATGTAGATACAGGATAACTGTTTATAGATACAGGATCACTGTTAGTAGATACATACTACAGGATCACTGTTAGTAAATACAGGATCTCTGTTAGTCGATACTGGATCACTGTTAGTAGATAGAGACTACATGATCACTCTTATTAATACAAACTGCATGTTCACTGTTAGTAAATACAGATTTCAGGTTCACTGTTAGTAAATACAGATTACAGGTTCACTGTTAGTAAATACAGATTACACGATCACTGTTAGTAAATACAGTGATCGTGTAATGGTCCTCTGTAGCTCAGCTGGTAGAGCACGGCGCTTGTAACGCCAAGGTAGTGGGTTCGATCCCCGGGACCACCCATACACAAAAATGTATGCACGCATGACTGTAAGTCGCTTTGGATAAAAGCGTCTGCTAAATGGCATATTATTATTATTATTATAAATACAGACTCCATGATCACTGTTAGTTGATGCAGACTGAAGGATCACTGTTACTAGATACAGACTGCAGGATCGCTTTTAGTAGATACATGATCACTGTTAATAGATACATGATCACTGTTAGTAGATACAGGATCACTATTAGTAGATACAGGATTACTGTTAGTTGATACAGGATCACTGTTAGTAAATACAGGATCACTGTTAGTAGATACAGTATCACTGTTAGTATATACAAACTACACGGTCAGTGTTAGTAAAACAGATTACAGGATCACTGTTAGTAAATACAGATTACTGGATCACTGTTAGTAGATACAGACTACATGATCAGTCTTATTAATACAAACTGCATGTTCACTGTTAGTAAATACAGATTAAAGGTTCACTGTTAGTAAATACAGATTACAGGATCACTGTTAGTAAATACAGACTCCATGATCACTGTTAGTTGATGCAGACTGAAGGATCACTGTTACTAGATACAGACTGCAGGATCGCTTTTAGAAGATACATGATTACTGTTAATAGATACAGGATCACCGTCAGTAGATACAGGATCACTGTTAGTATATGCACGATCACTGTCAGTAGATACAGGATCACAGTTAGTAGATACAGTGTACAGGGTCGCTGTTAGTAGATACAGGATCACTGTTAGTAGATACAGGATCACTGTTAGTAGATACAGGATCACTTTAGTACATATATACATGCCACAGGATCACAGTTGCTAGATACAGACTGCAGGATCGCTTTTAGTAGATACAGGATCACTGCTAGTTGAAACAGAATCACTTTAGTATATACAGGATCACTGTAAGTAGATACAGTATCACTGTTAGTAGATACAGTATCACTGTTAGTAGATACAGGATCAATGTTAGTAGATTCAGAATAACTGTTAGTAAATACAGACTAAATTATCACTGTTAATAGATACAGACTGCATGATCGCTTTTAGTAGATACAGGATCAATGTTAGTTGATACATAATCACTGTCAGTAGATTCAGGATCACTGTTAGTAAATACAGAATAAATGATCACTGTTAGCAAATATATGATCACTATTAGTAAAAACAGACTACATGATCACTGTTAGTAGATACAGGATCCCTGTTAGTAGATACAGGATCACTGTTAGTAGATACAGGATCACTGTTAGTAAATACAGGATCCCTGTTAGTAGATACAGGATCACTGATAGTAGATACAGGATCACTGTTAGTAGATACAAGATTACTGTTAGCAGATACATGCCACAGGATCACTGTTACTAGATTCATTATGCAGGATCGCTTTTAGTAGATACAGGATCACTGTCAGTTGATACATAATTACTGTCAGTAGATTCAGGATCACTGTTAGTAGATACAGACTGCAGGATCAATGTTAATAGATACATACCGCAAGACAACTACCCCCCAACATTGACTCGGTACCGATACCCCCTGTTAATAGATAAAAACCACAAGACATCTACCCCCACACATTGACACGGTACCGGTACCCCCTGTTAATAGATACATACCGCAAGACAACTACCCCCCACATTGACACAGTACCGGTACCCCCTGTTAATAGATACATGCCACAAGACAACTACCCCCCACATTGACACGGTACCGGTACCCCCTGTTAATAGATACATACCACAAGACAACTACCCCCCCACATTGACACGGTACCGGTACCCCCTGTATATAGATACATACCACAAGACAACTACCCCCCCACATTGACTCGGTACCGGTACCCCCTGTTAATAGATAAATACCACAAGACAACTTCCCCCCCACATTGACACGGTACCGGTACCCCCTGTTAATAGATACATACCACAAGACATTTACCCCCCCACATTGACACGGTACCGGTACCCCCTGTATATAGATACATACCACAAGACAACTACCCCCCCACATTGACACGGTACCGGTACCCCTGTATATATAGCCTCGTTATTGTTATACTGTATTATCGTTGTTCTTTATTACTTTTGTTTATTTAGTTAAAATAATTCTCAACTCTTATTTTTCTTAAAACTGCATTTTTGGTTAAGGGCTTGTAAGTAAGCATTTTACGGTAAGGTCTACATCTGTTGAATTCGGCGCATGTGACAAATACAATTTGATTTGATTTGATATGATTTGTATATATAGGATCACTTTTAATAAATATATGTTAGTAGATACAGGATCACTGTTAGTATCATCTCTATCTGTGAGGTTAAAACTAAACCAGACCATCTATCCTCCCTGTCTTGTCCAGACTAAACCAGACCATATATACTCTCCGTGAGGTTCAATTTAAACCAGACCATCTATCCTCCCTGTCTGGTCCAGACTAAACCAGACCATCTATCCTCTCTATCTGGTTCAGACTAAACCAGACCATCTATCCTCCCTGTCTGGTACAGACTAAACCAGACCATATATTCTCTCCGTGTGGTTCAGACTAAACCAGACCATCTATCCACTCTCTGTCTCTCTCTCTGTGTGGTTCAGATTAAACTAGACCATCTATTCTCTCTCTCTGTCTGGTTCAAACTAAACCCGATCATCTATCCTCTCTCTATGTCTGGTTCAAACTAAACCTGATCATCTGTCCTCTCTCTCTGTCTGGTTCAAACTAAACCCGATCATCTGTCCTCTCTCTCTGTGTTGTTCAAACTAAACCCGATCATCTATCCTCTCTCTCTGTGTGGTTCAGACAAAACCAGGCCATCTATCCTCTCTCTGTCTCTCTCTCTCTCTGTGTGATTCAAACTAAACCAGACCATGTATCCTCTCCGTGTGGTTCAGACTAAACAAAACCATCTATTCTCTCTCTCCTCTCTCTCTCTCTCTCTCTCTCTCTCTCTCTCTCTCTCTCTCTCTCTCTCTCTCTCCTCTCTCTCTCTCTCTCTCTCTCTCTCTCTCTCTCTCTCTCTCTCTCTCTCTCTCTCTGTCTGTCTGGTTCAGACTAAACCAGACCATCTATACTCTATCTTTGGTTCAAACTAAAGCAGACCATTTAGCTTCTCTCTCTGTGTGGTTCAGACTAAACCAGACCATCTGTCCTCTCTCTGTCTCTCTCTCTGTGTGGTTCAGATTGGACCAGACCATCTATCCCCCCTCCCTGTCCCTCCCATGGTTCCTCTCCCTTCAATAATGTGTTATTGAAGTGAAATGGTCACATTAACCCTGAGCAGCCTGATGCTCTGTTCTTCATTGATCACATAAACACAGGATATATTTTCTTACAGCATGACGCAGACGGTTAAGCATCTCTCCGTCTCTGACAAGATCAGAGTAGACAGGGAGAGAGAAGGAGAGGAGGAATGAAGAGGAATGGAGAGAAGGTAAGAGAGCTCCCCAAGGAGCTCGGTGGGAAAGGCCTCCTGAAGGCTCTCTCGGTGGGAAAGGCCTCCTGAAGGCTCTCTCGGTGGGAAAGGCCTCCTGAAGGCTCTCTCGGTGGGAAAGGCCTCCTGAAGGCTCTCTCGGTGGGAAAGGCCTCCTGAAGGCTCTCTCGGTGGGAAAGGCCTCCTGAAGGCACTCTTGGTGGGAAAGGCCTCCTGATTGAGCCCTTTTTATCTGGCCGTGGAATCAAATGAAAAGGGTTTGTAAGTTCTGACCTCACATTAATCACGAAGCAGAAGTTGTAACCCTGGTGATTTGTTAGCTGACCTGTTTTCATCAGGTCCCATCTACTACCAGAAGTTAATATGGAGGACACATTATCTTTAAGTGCAGCTACACTCTTAGAATAAAAGGTGCTATCTAGAACCTAAATGGGTTATTCGGCTGTCCCCACAGGAGAACCCCTTTGAAGAGCCCTTTTTGGTTCCAGGTGGGACCCTGCTCTGCTCTTTAACATAGCCCAATTCAAAATGCACTCTCAAACTTTTGTATAATTTCAGCCAGTAGTTTTGAAAGCGCTGCTCACGAGCCAAAAGTGGTCCCTGTGTCATCCAACTGTGTACTACTTCATCCAACTGTGTACTACTTCATCCAACAGTGTACTACTTCATCCAACTGTGTACTACTTCATCCAACTGTGTACTACTTCATCCAACTGTGTACTACTTCATCCATTCTGTGTGATATGTTACGATTTATGCAATGTATGTGATACAGTATGTTATGAATCCAAGTTGTGCAATATCCATGAGTTTGTTTTTAAGGCTGACATATTAATATCACATGTGTTGGTTCACTGTGTTGGGCTGTGTTGTTAGCTAGTCCAACATGTTGTAAAGCAGCATGAGTCTGCAAGGCTATCTATCTGATATATTTTAGACCAGCATTACAACATCAATACTATCTGATACATGTTAGAGCAGCATTAACACATTAAGACTATCTGATACATGTTAGAGCAGCATTAACATATGAAGATTATCTGATACATGTTAGAGCAACATTAACATATTAAGATTATCTGATACATGTTAGAGCAGCATTAACACATCAATAATATCTGATACATGTTAGAGCAGCATTAACACATCAAGACTATCTGATACATGTTAGAGCAGCATTAACACATTAAGATTATCTGATACATGTTAGAGCAGCATTAACACATTAAGATTATCTGATACATGTTAGAGCAGCATTAAAAAAGCAATACTTGTGATGCATGTTAGAGCAGAATTAACACATCAAGACTATCTGATGCATGTTAGAGCAGCATTAACACATCAAGATTATCTGATATATGTTAGAGCAGCATTAACACATCAAGAATATCTGATACATATTAGAGCAGCATTAAGATATTAAGATTATATGATACATGTTAGAGCAGCATTAACACATTAAGACTATCTGATACATGTTAGAGCAGCATTAACATATTCAGATTATCTGATACATGTTAGAGCAGCATTAACACATCAATACTATCTGATACATTTTAGAGCAGCATTAACACATTAAGACTATCTGATACATGTTAGAGCAGCATTAACACATCAAGACTATCTGATACATGTTAGAGCAGCATTAACACATTAAGATGATCTGATACATGTTAGACCAGCATTAACACATCAAGATTATCTGATACATGTTAGAGAAGCATTACAACATCAATACTATCTGATACATGTTAGAGCAGCATTAACACATTAAGATTATGTGATACATGTTAGAGCAGCATTAACATATTAAGATTACCTGATACAAGTTAGAGCAGCATTAAAACATCAAGACTATGTGATACATGTTAGAGCAGCATTAACATATTAAGATTATCTGATACATGTTAGACCAGCATTAACATTTTAATATTATCTGATACATGTTAGAGCAGCATTAACATATTAAGATTATCTGATACATGTTAGAGCAGCATTAACATATCAATGTTATCTGATACATGTTAGAGCAGCATTAACATATTAAGATTATCTGATACATGTTAGAGCAGAATTAACACATCAAGATTATCTGATACATGTTAGAGCAGCATTAACATATTAAGATTATCTGATACATGTTAGAGCAGCATTAACACATCAATACTATCTGATTCATGTTAGAGCAGCATTAACACATCAATACTATCTGATTCATGTTAGAGCAGCATTAACACATCAATACTATCTGATAATTTGTAAGTCGCTCTGGATAAGAGCGTCTGCTAAATGACATAAATGTAAATGTAATACATGTTAGAGCAGCATTAACACATCAAGATTATCTGATACATGTTAGAGAAGCATTACAACATCAATACTATCTGATACATGTTAGAGCAGCATTAACACATTAGGGGTCTCCTGAGTGGCGCAGTGGTCTAAGGCACTGCATCGCAGTGCTAACTGTGCCACTAGAGATCCTGGTTCGAATCCAGGCTCTGTCGCAGCCGGCCGCGACCGGGAGACTCATGGGTGGCGCACAATTGGCCCAGCGTCGTCCAGGGTAGGGGAGGGAATGGCCGGCAGGGATGTAGCTCAGTTGATAGAGCATGGCGTTTGCAACGCCAGGGTTGTGGGTTCAATTCCCACGGGGGGCCAGTATATATAAAAAAATATGTATTCACTAACTGTAAGTCGCTCTGGATAAGAGCGTCTGCTAAATGACTAAAATGTAAATGTAAAATTAAGATTATCTGATACATGTTAGAGCAGCATTAACACATTAAGATTACCTGATACAAGTTAGAGCAGCATTAACACATCAAGACTATGTGATACATGGTAGAGCAGCATTAACACATCAAGACTAGCTGATACGTGTTAGAGCAGCATTAATATATTAAGATTATCTGATACAAGTTAGAGCAGTATTAACACATTAAGGATGTCTGATACATGTTAGAGCAGCATTAACACATCAATACAATCTGATACATCTTAGACCAGCATTACCATATTAATACTATCTGATACATGTTAGACCAGCATTAACACATTAATAATATCTGATACATGTTAGAGCAGCATTAACACATTAAGACTATCTGATACATGTTAGAGCAGCATTAACACATTAAGATGATCTGATACATGTTAGACCAGCATTAACACATCAAGATTATCTGATACATGTTAGAGAAGCATTACAACATCAATACTATCTGATACATGTTAGAGCAGCATTAACACATTAAGATTATGTGATACATGTTAGAGCAGCATTAACACATTAAGATTACCTGATACAAGTTAGAGCAGCATTAACACATCAAGACTATGTGATACATGTTAGAGCAGCATTAACATATTAAGATTATCTGATACATGTTAGACCAGCATTAACACATTAATATTATCTGATACATGTTAGAGCAGCATTAACATATTAAGATTATCTGATACATGTTAGAGCAGCATTAACATATCAAGGTTATCTGATACATGTTAGAGCAGCATTAACATATTAAGATTATCTGATACATGTTAGAGCAGCATTAACACATCAAGATTATCTGATACATGTTAGAGCAGCATTAACACATCAATACTATCTGATTCATGTTAGAGCAGCATAAACACATCAATACTATCTGATAATTTGTAAGTCGCTCTGGATAAGAGCATCTGCTAAATGATGTAAATGTAAATGTAATACATGTTAGAGCAGCATTAACACATCAAGATTATCTGATACATGTTAGAGCAGCATTAACACATCAAGATTATCTGATACATGTTAGAGAAGCATTACAACATCAATACTATCTGATACATGTTAGAGCAGCATTAACACATTAAGATTATCTGATACATGTTAGAGCAGCATTAACACATTAAGATTACCTGATACAAGTTAGAGCAGCATTAACACATCAAGACTATGTGATACATGTTAGAGCAGCATTAACACATCAAGACTATCTGATACGTGTTAGAGCAGCATTAATATATTAAGATTATCTGATACAAGTCAGAGCAGTATTAACACATTAAGGCTGTCTGATACATGTTAGAGCAGCATTAACACATCAATACAATCTGATACATCTTAGACCAGCATTACCATATTAATACTATCAGATACATGTTAGAGCAGCATTAACACATTAATACTATCTGATACATGTTAGAGCAGCATTAACATATTAAGATGATATGATACATGTTAGACCAGCATTAACACATTAAGATTATCTGATACATGTTAGAGCAGCATTAACATATTAAGATTATCTGATACATGTTAGAGCATCATTAACATATCAAGGTTATCTGATACATGTTAGAGCAGCATTAACATATTGTGATTATCTGATACATGTTAGAGCAGCATTAACACATCAATATTATCTGATACATGTTAGAGCAGCATTACACATCAATACTATCTGATTCATGTTAGAGCAGCATTAACACATCAATACTTGTGATGCATGTTAGAGCAGCATTAACATATCAACATTATATTTTGATTTGATTTGTTAGGAACCCCATTAGCCGACACCAATGGCGACAACTAGTCTTTCTGGGGTCCAACATAAAGACATTATAGAAAAATTACTTTACAATTTAGCTGCATTTAAAAACATGAACATGTAGTGTGTGTGTGCATCTGTCATGAATGTCTGTGGAATGCGGTACGCCAGAGTCAAGCGCAATACACATAATGAAATGAAGATATACTTTACTGTATAGTAAAGAAACAAGCAAAACCTCCAACACAGGGAGGAGCAAACCCACTCACAAACGACCCACGAAACAAGTAACAAACACACACAACACACAGTGGGAGAGAACAGGTTAAATAGGGAAGGACATAATCACATAATGGAAAACAGGTGCAACACTAGACAACAACCAGATGAACATAGAAACATAAAACATAGATCGGCAGCAGCTATTATACCGGTGACGACAAACGCCGAAGCCTGCCCGAACCAGAAGGAAGGGCAGCCTTGGCAGAATCCGCGACAGTACCCCCCCGGCTCCAGCCGCGCGTCGACACCGGCCTCGGGGACGGCCAGCAGGACGCGGCGCGGGGCGAGTCGGATGATTTCGATGAAATTCTCTCAACAAGGAGGGATCGAGGATATCCCTCCTAGGCACCCAGCACCGCTCCTCCGGACCGTACCCCTCGATGTCAAGTGGGGGCGGAGGAATCTCCCGTATCTCAGATTCCTAGAGTGGACCATCTACCACCGGCCTGAGGAGAGACACATGGAACGAGGGGTTAATGCGATAATCAGTAGGAAGCTGTAACCTATAACATACCTCGTTCTATCTCCTCAGGACTTTAAATGGGCCCACAAACCGCTTACCCAACTTCCGGCAGGGCAGGCGAAGGGGTAGGTTTCGGGTCGAGAGCCAGACCCGGTCCCCCGGTGCATACACCGGGGCTTCACTGCGGTAGCGGTCGGCACTCGCCTTCTGCCGCCTGCAGGCGTTCATGGGCAGTGTCCCAGGTCTCCTGCGAGCGCCGAACCCACTCGTCCACCGCAGGTACCTCGATCTGGCTCTGATGCCAAGGGGCCAGGGCCGGCTGATAACCAAACACACACTGGAAAGGAGTAAGGTCAGTTGAGGAGTGGCGGTTGGAGTTCATTGCCATCTCTGCCCAGGGAAGGAAAACCGACCACTCCCCTCGCCGGTCCTGGCAATACGACCTCAGAAACCTACCCACCTCCTGGTTGATTCTCTCCACCTGCCCGTTACTCTCGGGGTGAAAACCTGAGGTAAGGCTAACCGAGATCCCCAACCATTCCATGAACGCCCTCCAAACCCTTGAGGTGAATTGGGGACCCCGATCAGACACGATATCCTCAGGCACACCGTAGTGCCGGAAGACGTGGGTAAATAGGGCCTCGGCAGTTTTTAGGGTCGTAGGGAGTCCGGGCAGAGGAAGGAGGCGACAGGACTTAGAAAACCGATCCACAACGACCAGGATGGTTGTGTTCCCTTTTGAGGGAGGAAGATCAGTCATAAAATCCACCGATAGGTGGGACCACGGTCGTTGTGGAACGGGTAGAGGTTGTAATTTCCCTCTGGGCAGGTGTCTAGGAGCCTTACACTGGGCGCACACCGAGCAGGAGGAAACATAAACCCTCACGTCCTTAGCTAAGGTGGGCCACCAGTACTTCCCACTAAGACAGTGCACTGTCCGACCGATGCCAGGATTACCAGAGGAAGGTGACGTGTGAGCCCAATAGATCAAACGATCGCGGACCTCCAGCGGTACGTACATACGACCCTCTGGACACTGGGGAGGAGTGGGTTCGTTACGCAACACCCACATCGATGTCCGCATCAACCTCCCATACCACTGGTGCCACCAGACACGACACCGGAAGTATGGGAGTGGGCTTCACGGAACTCTCCTCCTTGTCATGCAGTCGGGAAAGAGCATAAGCCTTAGCGTTCTGGGACCCTGGCCTGAAAGAAAGGGTAAAAACTAAACGGGTGAGCAACATGGACCACCTTGCCTGGCGAGGGTTTAACCTCTTCGCTGCTCGGATGTACTCCAGATTGCGGTGGTCAATCAAAATGAGAAAAGGGTGTTTAGCCCCCTCAAGCCAATGTCTCCACGCTTTCAGGGCTTTGACCACAGCCAACAGCTCCTGGTCCCCCACATCATAGTTGCACTCCGCCGGGCAAAGCTTCTTCGAAAAGAAAGCACAGGGGCGGAGCTTGGGTGGCTTGCCCGAGCGCTGAGAAAGTACAGCGCCTAGCCCAGCCTCGGACGCGTCCACCTCAACCGTGAAGGCCAAGGAGGGATCCGGATGAGCCAGCACTGGAGCCGAGGTAAACAGGTCCTTCAGGTGACTAAAAGCCCTGTCCGCCTCAGCTGACCACCGCAGACGCACCCCCCCCCCCCCCCCCCCCCCCCCCCCCCCCCCTTCAGCAACGAGGTAATGGGAGCCGCTACCTGACCAAAGCCCCGGATAAACCTCCGGTAGTAGTTGGCAAACCCCAAGAATCGCTGCACCTCCTTCACCGTGATTGGAGTCGACCAATTACGCACGGCCGAAATGCGGTCACTCTCCATCCTCACCCCAGATGCGGACATGTGGTACTCTAGGAAGGAGATGGACTCCTGAAAGAACAGGCATTTCTCTGCCTTAGCATACAGGTCATGCTCCAACAGTCTTCCAAGCACTTTACGCACCAGGGACACATGCTCGGCCCTTGTAGTGGAGTATATAAGGATGTCATCAATATACAACACTACCCCTTGTCCGTGCAGGTCCCTGAAAATCTCATCCACAAATGACTGGAAAACTGATGGAGCATTCATTAACCCGTATGGCATGACAAGATACTCATAATGTCCAGAGGTGGTACTAAATACTGTCTTCCACTCATCTGCCTCCCGGATACGCACTAGGTTGTACGCGCTCCTGAGTTCCAATTTTGTGAAGAAGCGTGCCCCGTGCAATGATTCCGTCATACTAGCTATCAGGGGTAATGGATAGCTGTACTTAATGGTAATCTGATTTAAGCCACGGTAATCAATGCACGGGCGTAACCCACCATCTTTCTTCTTCACAAAAAAGAAACTCGAGGAGACAGGTGAAGTGGATGGCCGAATGTATCCCTGTCTCAGAGATTCGGTGACATTTGTCTCCATAGCCGCCCTCTCCTCCTGAGACAAAGGATACACGTGACTCCGGGAAAGTGCAGCTCCTACCTGGAGATTTATCGCGCAATCCCCCGGACGATGAGGTGGTAATTTAGTCACCCTCTTTTTACTGAAGGCGATAGCCAAATCGGCATACTCGGCAGGAATGTGCATAGTGGAAACCTGGTTTGGACTTTCCACCGTAGTTGCCCCCAAGGAAACTCCTACACACCTCCCTGAACACTGACCGGACCATCCCTTGAGAGCCCTCTGTTGCCATGAAATCATGGGGTCATGAATGGTTAACCAGGGAAGTCCCAACACCACAGGATACGCAGGAGAATCAATCAGATAGAGGCTAATCCTCTCCTCATGACCCCCCTGCGTCCTCATCAGAAGTGGAGCGGTGACCTCCCTGATTATGCCTGACCCTAATGCATGCACGGGGAAAGGTTTCTCAACAGACATAGTAGGGATCCCTAAACTACGAGCATACTGGCGATCAATAAAATTCCCAGCCCCGCCTGAATCTACTAGCGCCTTATGCTGGGAATGGGGGGAAAACTCTGGAAAAACTATGTCAATACACAGATTAGCAACAGGAGGCTCTGGGTGAGTCGGGTGCCTACTCACCTGAGACGGTCGACCAGTGCTCTGCCTGCTGCCTCGACCTCCTGAGGACCCTCCCCAGCACCGACCAGCAGTGTGTCCTCTGTGGCCACAGTTGGTGCAGGGGACGGTCCCTCTCACCGTCTCCCTAACCGCAGCACCTCCGAGCTCCATGGGTGTAGCCTCGGAGGTGCTGGGGGATGGAATGGACGGCCCCTGATCAGAACGTCCGCGGGCTGCCAACAGGTTATCCAACCTGATGGACATGTCCACCAGTTGGTCCAGGTTAAGATCGGTGTCCCTGCAGGCCAGTTCCTGGCGGACGTCCTCCCTTAAGCTGCAACGATAATGGTCGATCAGGGCCCTCTCATTCCATCCCGCGCTTGCTGCTAAAGTTCTAAACTCCAGCGCAAACTCCTGCGTGCTCCTCATCTCCTGTCGTAGGTGAAACAGACGTTCAGCCTACACCCGCTCTCCCTTCTGGTGGATGATCGAATACCGCCCAGAAGCGGCGGGTGAAGTCCTCGTAGCGCACAGTTCTCGATTCTATTCCTCCCCACTCGCCGTTGGCCCATTCCAGCGCCTTCCCCGATAGACAGGAGATGAGGGCGGACACGCTCTCATATCCCGAGGGCACCGGGTGAATGGTGGTAGAGCTCTACCTGGAGGAGAAATCCCTGGCACCAGGCAGGTGTACCGTCATATGCCCTTGGGAGCGAGAGCCGAATCCCACTGGACCCAGGTGGTGGAGTGGTAACCAGTGTTGTAGGTGGTTGAGTGGTTGGAGATGGTGAAGGGATACCACCTCTCTCCCATCGTTCCATCGTCTGGAACACTTGTTCCATGGTGACACCGAGAGTCTGAATCATCATCTCTTGTCGTTGAACTCGTTCCTCCATCGTCTCGGATTAATCCGGCTGTTCCTGCTGACTCCATAGAGGTGCGTGTTTCTGTCATGAATGTCTGTGGAATGCGGTAGGCCAGAGTCAAGCGCAGGACACAGAATGAAATGAAGATATACTTTACTGTATAGTAAAGAAACAAGCAAAACCTCCAACACAGGGAGGAGCAAACCCGCTCACAAACGACACTCGAAACAAGTAACAAACACGCACAACACACAGTGGGAGAGAACAGGTTAAATAGGGAAGGACATAATCACATAATGGAAAACAGGAGCAACACTAGACAACAACCAGATGAACATAGAAACATAAAACATAGATCGGCAGCAGCTATTATACCGGTGACGACGAACGCCGAAGCCTGCCCGAACCAGAAGGAAGGGCAGTCTCGGCAGAATCCATGACAGCATCTATCAGTTACACATACATGTCAGTACATACACACAACAAGTATGTCACATGGGGGAGAGGAGTTGTGTCATGAGGTTTTGCTTTATTTGTTTTGCTGATCAATTGCGCTATATAAGATGGAAGGGAGTTCCATGCATTCATGGCTCTGTATAATACTGTACATTTCCTTGAATTTGTTCTGGACCTGGGGACTGTGAAAAGACCCCTGGTGGCATGTCACCTGTCGTAGAAATATTTGACTCAAAAGTAGTCAACTCAAAATATCTCTCAAGAGACTGGAGCTTGTGAATCCAAAAATTAGACTTTTATTATTTGCATAACAAAGCCGAGCTTGCTCCATGGAGCAACTGCTTGCCCTGAACTGGAGCTGTCCTTTTATACAGACACAAATGCATAGTCAACATACATAGTTACTCCTCTCCATGTGAATGAATAAAAAAAATTCATTATCACATGTTGGCTATTGACAGGGGCTACTTGCGCTTCTCTAAATGGGGCCTTTGTATCTTATTAGTGGCGTGACTCAAAAAATTATGTACATACGTACATTAAAGAACAATCACACTCTGTATTGACTATATTCACTATCCAGACATATATCTGAAGTAAAAAGTATTAATCATGTTCATTCTGTTTTACCTTTATCATTTCATAACACATTATAAAACATATCAATTAATACTTAAACATGGTTTAAACATGTCATCCATAACCCATTCTCGACCACATACATTTAAGCATTTATAATTTACCATCCTCCCTGGCCCTTGAGATTATGTGAATGTGGCTATGTGTCAGGTCATAAGCACAAACAAATGATAACACTAGTTCCATTGTTACTCCAATCTCCACACAGCCACCACGAGGAGTTGTGTCTCCATCACATGTCATTGACATACCCAGACCAGCTGCAGGGAGTTATGAAAAACACATAAATGTCTCTGCTCTGTATTAACCCTTCAACTGGTTCTCAATCCATAAACATTTTAAGGCATATAGGTGTTTAATTCTACAACATATGTACTTGAAAATCATCTATACACCCCGCTCCTCCGCACACTCCACTTCCGGCTTCCAGTTGAGGCTTGCATCTACTACAAGACCATGGTGCTTGCCTACGGAGCTGTGAGGGGAACGGCACCTCCTTACCTTCAGGCTCTGATCAGACCCTACACCCAAACGAGGGCACTACGTTCATCCACCTCTGGCCTGCTAGCTCCCCTACCTCTACTGAAGCACAGTTCCCGCTCAGCCCGGTCAAAGCTATTCGCTGCTCTGGCACCCCAATGGTGGAACAAGCTCCCCCACGACGCCAGGACAGCGGAGTCACTGACCAGCTTCCGGAGACACTTGAAACCCTACCTCTTTAAGGAATACCTGGAATAGTATAAAGTCATCCTTCTCCCCCCCCCAAAAAAAAGCCAGTCCCACTGGCTATCATAAGTTGATTGCACCAATTTGTCAGTCGCTCTGGATAAGAGCGTCTGCTAAATGATGTAAATGTAAATATAAGTGTGTGTGTCAGTGCTGTGTGTAAGTTGACTATGCAAACAATTTGGAATTTCCAACACATTAATGTTTCTTATAAAAACAAGAAGTGACTCAGTCAGTCTTTCCTCAACTCTTAGCCAAAAGAGACTGGCATGCATATTATTAATATTAGCCCTCTGATTACAATGAAGAGCAAGACGTGCCACTCTGGTCTGGACCAGTTGCATCTTAACTAGGTCTTTCTTTGCAGCACTTGACCATATGACTGGACAATAATCAAGAGAAGATAAAACTAGAGCCTGCAGGACATGCTCTGTGGAGTGTGGTGTCAAAAAAGCAGAGCATCTCTTTATTACGTACAGACCTCTCCCCATCTTTACAACTATTGAATCTATATGTTTTGACCATGACAGTTTACAATCCAAGGTAACACCAAGTAATTTAGTCTCCTCAACGTGTTCTCTCTCTCTCCCTCTCTCTCGCTCTCTTGCTCTACCGCACCTGCTGTCTCGACCTCTGAATGCTCGGCTATGAAAGGCCTACTGACATTTACTCCTGAGGTACTGACCTGTTGCACCATGTACTCTTATAATCTCCACCAGGCACAGCCAGAAGTGGACTGGCCACCCTTCAGAGCCTGGTTCCTCTCTAGGTTTCTTCCTAGGTTCCTGCCTTTCTAGGGAGTTTTTCCTAGCCACCATACTTCTACATCTGCATTGCTTGCTGTGTGGGGTTTTAGGCTGGGTTTCTGTATAAGCACTTTGTCACATCTGCTGTTGTAAAAATGGCTTTATAAATACATTTGATTTGATTTTAATTTGATTCAACAGCCACACCATTCATTACCAGATTCAGCTGAGGTCTAGAACTTAGGGAACGATTAGTACCAAATACAATGCTCTTAGTTTTAGAGATGTTCAGGACTAGTTTATTGCTGGCCACCCATTCAAAAACTGACTGCAACTCTTTGTTAAGGGTTTCAGTGACTTAATTAGCTGTGGTTGCTGATGCGTATTTGGCTGAATCATCAGCATACATGGACACACATGCTTTGTTTAATACCTGTGGCAGGTCATTGGTAAAAATAGAAAAGAGTAGTGGGCCTATAGAGCTGCCCTGCGGTACACCACACTTTACATGTTTGACATTAGTGAAGCTTTCATTAAAGTAAACCCTCTGAGTTCTATTAGACAAATAGCTCTAAATCAACGATATGGCAGAGGTTGAAAAGCCATAAGACATACAGTACCAGTCAAAGGTTTAGACACACCTACTCATTCAAGGGTCTTTCTTAATTTTTACTATTTTCTACATTGTAGAATAATAGTGAAGACATCAAAACTATGAAATAACACATATTGAATAATGTAGAAACCAAAAAAGTGTTAAACAAATCAAAATATATTCTATATTTGAGATTCTTCAAAGTAGCCACCCTTTGCCTTGATGACAGCTTTGCACACTCTTGGCTTTCTGTCAACCAGTTTCATGAGGAATGCTTTTCCAACAGTCTTGAAGGAGTTCACACATATTCTGAGCACGTGTTGGCTGCATTTCCTTCACTCTGCGGTCCAACTCATCCCAAACACTCTCAATTGGGTTGCGGTCGGGTGATTGGGAAGGCCAGGCCAACTGATGCAGCACCATCACAACTCCTCCTCCATGCTTCACAGTGGGAACCACACATGCAGAGATCATCCGTTCACCTACTCTGCGTTTCACAAAGACACAGCGGTTGGAACCAGAAAATCTAAAATCTGGACTCATCAGACCAAAGTACAGATTTCCACCGGTCTAATGTCCATTGCTCGTGTTTCTTGGCCCAAGTAAGTATCTTCTTATTATTGGTGTCCTTTAGTAGTGGTTTCTTTGCAGCAATTCGACCATGAAGGCCTGATTCACGCAGTCTCCTCTGAACAGTTGATGTTGAGATGTGTCTGTTACTTGAACTCTGTGAAGCATTTATTTGGCTGCGATCTGAGGTGCAGTCAACTTAATTGAACTTCCTTGTACAAGGTAACTCTGGGTCTTCAATTCCTGTGGCGGTCCATGAGAGCCAGTTCATCATAGCGCTTTATGGTTTTTAGATGCACTTGAAATGTTCCGGATTGACTGACCTTCATGTCTTAAAGTAATGATGGACTGTCATTTCTCTTTGCTTATTTGAGCTGTTCTTGCCATAATATGGACTTGTAGGGCTATCAACTGTATACCACCCTTACCTTGTCACAACACAACTGATTGGCTCAAACGCATTAAGAAGGAAGAAATTCACAAATGAACGTTAACATGGCAACCGTTAATGAAATGCATCCAGTGACACATCATGAAGCTGGTTGAGAGAATACCTAGAGTGTGCAAAGCTGTCATCAAGGCAACATCTGATATATGTTAGAGCAGCATTAACACATTAAGATTATCTGATACATGTTAGATTAACACATAGAAGTGAATGGTTCTCTACAGTACTACTGGTCTGGTGGTGAATGGTTCTCTACAGTACTACTGGTCTGGTGGTGAATGGTTCTCTACAGTACTACTGGTCTGGTGGTGAATGGTTCTCTACAGTACTACTGGTCTGGTGGTGAATGGTACTCTACAGTACTACTGGTCTTTATATTATAATCCACATCATAGAGAGAGGCTGAGGACTAACTGACCTGATACAACCAGAAAATAGGGAAATCAATTTGAGCAGCATAAAGGAGGAGCTCTCTTCTCCAGTTAAACATCACTGAGCCTCTTCTCATTGAGCATATAGCTAGCAGCCAAATAGCTCAGATGCCATAATGCCATTATGTCCTTTTAAAGATCTATCTGTCATTACTGCCTCCAGGGTAGACTGAATGAATGAAGGGTAGAATGAGTGGAATCTCAGAGTACAATTATGAGACTAAGTCCTCCATTACCTCTAATATAATAGTCCTCCATTACCTCTAGTATAATAGTCATCATGTGCCTGTAGTATAATAGTCCTCCTGTACCTCTAGTATAATAGTCCTCCTGTACCTCCAGTATAATAGTCCTCCTGTACCTCTAGTATAATAGTCCTCCTTTACCTCTAGTATAATAGTCCTCCTGTACTTCTAGTATAATTGTCCTCCTGTACCTCTAGTATAATAGTCCTCCTGTACCTCTAGTATAATAGTCCTCCTGTACCTCTAGTATAATAGTCCTCCTGTACCTCTAGTATAATAGTCCTCCTGTACCTCTAGTATAATAGTCCTCCTGTACTCTAGTATAATAGTCGTCCTGTACCTCTAGTATAATAGTCCTCCTGTACTCTAGTATAATAGTCCTCCTGTACCTCTAGTATAATAGTTATCCTTTAACTCTAGTATAATAATCCTCTCATACCTCTGGTACAATACTCCTCCTGTACTCCAGTTTAATAATCCTTATGTATTAGAGTAATAGTTATCCTGTACCTCTAGTATAATAGTCCTCATGTACGCTGGTATAATAGTCATTCTGTAACTCTCGTATAATAGTCCTCCTGTACTCTGGTATAATAGTCCTCTAGTACCTATAGTATAATAGTCCTCCTGTACCTCTAGTATAATAGTCCTCCTGTACTCTGGTACAATAGTCTTATTGTACCTCTAGTATAATAGTCCTCCTATACATCTAGTATAGTAGTCCTCTAGTCCCTATAGTATAATAGTTATCCTGTACCTCTAGTATAATAGTTATTATGTACCTCTAGTATAAGAGTTATTATGTACCTGTAGTATAATACTCCTCCTGTAATTCCAGTATAATAGTCATTCTGTACTCTGGTATAATAGTCCTCTAGTACCTATAGTATAATAGTCCTCCTGTACCTATAGTATATTAGTCCTCCTGTACCTCTTGTATAATAGTCCTCCTGTACTCTGGTACAATAGTCTTATTGTATCTATAGTTTAATAGTCCTCCTGTGCCTATAGTATATTAGTCCTCCTGTACCTCTAGTATAATAGTCCTCCTGTACTCTGGTACAATAGTCTTATTGTACCTCTAGTATAATAGTCCTCCTATACGTCTAGTATAGTAGTCCTCTAGTCCCTATAGTATAATAGTTATCCTGAACCTCTAGTATAATTGTTTTTATGTACCTCTAGTATAATAGTCCTTCTGTACCTCTAATATAATAGTCCTCTAGTACATATAGTATAATAGTCCTCCTGTACCTCTAGTATAATAGTCCTCCTGTATCTCTTGTATAATAGTCCTCCTGTACTCTGGTACAATAGTCTTATTGTACCTCTAGTATAATAGTCCTCCTATACGTCTAGTATAGTAGTCCTCTAGTCCCTATAGTATAATAGTTATCCTGAACCTCTAGTATAATTGTTTTTATGTACCTCTAGTATAATAGTCCTTCTGTACCTCTAATATAATAGTCCTCTAGTACATATAGTATAATAGTCCTCCTGTACCTCTAGTATAATAGTCCTCCTGTATCTCTAGTATAATAGTCCTTCTTTACATCTAGTATAATAGTCCTCCTGTGACTCTAGAATAGTAGTCTGTACCTTACTGTACTATATACTTGAATGTAGTCTGCTTCTCTATATACATGTAATATAATATACTGTACTCTATACTGGTACTATAGTCTACTGTACTATATTCCTGTAATATATTCTACTGTACTATATACCTATACTATAATCTACTGTACTATATACCTGTAATATAGTCTACTGTACTATCTTCCTGTAATATAATCTACTGTACTATATACCTGTAATATAGTCTACTGTACTTAGTGATGTAGTGGGGGAAAATATGTGGGTAAACCCTGATCACTGTTAGCAGTGAGTAAAGTAATGCTCCCTATACTTTCAATACATACAGTATGTGTATATTCACCTCATGATGCCCCGCCCACTTGACCCAGTTCCTGATCAAACATGATTGGTTTCCTCCTTCCGGCCCATTCCCAAACAAGCAAAATGTACAGTGCCTTCAGAAAGAAGTCATACCCCTTGACTTATTCTACATTGTGTTATGTTACAGCCTTATTCTAAAATGGATTAAAGAAATAAAACATCCTCAGAAATCTACATACTATAGCCCATAATGACGAAGCGAAAACAGGTTTTTAGAAATGTTTGTACATTTATAAAAAATAAAAACTGAAATACCTTATTTACATAAGTATTCAGGCCCTTTGCTATGAGACTCGAAATTGAGCTCATGTGTATCCTGTTTCCATTGATCATCCTTGAGATGTTTCTACAACTTCATTGGAGTCCACCTGTGGTAAAGTAAATTGATTGGACATGATTTGGAAAGGCACACACCTGTCTATATACAGTGGGGGGAAAAAGTATTTAGTCAGCCACCAATTGTGCAAGTTCTCCCACTTAAAAAGATGAGAGAGGCCTGTAATTTTCATCATAGGTACACGTCAACTATGACAGACAAAATGAGAATTTTTTTCTCCAGAAAATCACATTGTAGGATTTTAATGTATTTCTTTGCAAATTATGGTGGAAAATAAGTATTTGGTCACCTACAAACAAGCAAGATTTCTGGCTCTCACAGACCTGTAACTTCATCTTTAAGAGGCTCCTCTGTCCTCCACTCGTTACCTTTATTAATGGCACCTGTTTGAACTTGTTATCAGTATAAAAGACACCTGTCCACAACCTAAAACAATCACACTCCAAACTCCACTATGGCCAAGACCAAAGAGCTGTCAAAGGACACCAGAAACAAAATTGTAGACCTGCACCAGGCTGGGAAGACTGAATCTGCAATAGGTAAGCAGCTTGGTTTGATGAAATCAACTGTGGGAGCAATTATTAGGAAATGGAAGACATACAAGACCACTGATAATCTCCCTCGATCTGGGGCTCTACGCAAGATCTCACCCTGTGGGGTCAAAATGATCAAAAGAACGGTGAGCAAAATCCCAGAACCACACGTGGGGACCTAGTGAATGACCTGCAGAGAGCTGGGACCAAAGTAACAAAGCCTACCATCAGTAACACACTACGCCGCCAGGGACTCAAATCCTGCAGTACGAGACGTGTCCCCCTGCTTAAGCCAGTACATGTCCAGGCTCGTCTGAAGTTTGCTAGAGTGCATTTGGATGATCCAGAAGAGGATTGGGAGAATGTCATATGGTCAGATGAAACCAAAATAGAACTTTTTGGTAAAAACTCAACTCGTCGTGTTTGGAGGACAAAGAATGCTGAGTTGCATCCAAAGAACACCATACCTACTGTGAAGCATGGGGGTGGAAACATCATGCTTTGGGGCTGTTTTTCTGCAAAGGGACCAGGACGACTGATCCGTGTAAAGGAAATAATGAATGGGGCCATGTATCGTGAGATTTTGAGTGAAAACCTCCTTCCATCAGCAAGGGCATTGAAGATGAAACGTGGCTGGGTCTTTCAGCATGACAATGATCCCAAACACACCGCCCGGGCAACGAAGAAGTGGCTTCATAAGAAGCATTTCAAGGTCCTGGAGTGGCCTAGCCAGTCTCCAGATCTCAACCCCATAGAAAATATTTGGAGGGAGTTGAAAGTCCATGTTGCCCAGCGACAGCCCCAAAACATCACTGCTCTAGAGGAGATCTGCATGGAGGAATGGGCCAAAATACCAGCAACAGTGTGTGAAAACCTTGTGAAGACTTACAGAAAACGTTTGACCTGTGTCATTGCCAACAAAGGGTATATAACAAAGTATTGAGAAACTTGTGTTATTGACCAAATTCTTATTTTCCACCATAATTTGCAAATAAATTCATAACAAATCCTACAATGTGATTTTCTGGATTTTTTTTCCTCATTTTGTCTGTCATAGTTGACGTGTACCTATGATGAAAATTACAGGCCTCTCTCATCTTTTTAAGTGGGAGAACTTGCACAATTGGTGGCTGACTAAATACTTTTTTCCCCACTGTAAGGTCCCACAGTTGAGAGTACATGTCATAGCAAAGAACAAGCCATGAGGACGAAGGAATTGTCTGTAGAGCTCCGAGACAGGGTTGTGTTGAGGCACAGATCTGGGGAAGGGTACCAAAACATTTCTGCAGAATTGAAGGTTCCCAAGAACACAGTGGCCTCCATCATTCTTAAATGGAAGATGTTTGGAACCACCAAGACTCTTCCTAGAGCTTGCCGCCCTACCAAACTGATTAATCGGGGGAGAAGGGCCTTGGTCAGGGAGGTGACCAAGAACCCGATGGACACTCTGACAGAGCTCTAGAGTTCCTCTGTGGAGATGAGAGAAACTTCCAGAAGGACAATCATCTCTGCAGCACTCCACCAATCAGGTCTTTATGGTAGAGTGGCCAGACAGAAGCCACTCCTCAGTAAAAGGCACATGACAGCGTGCTTGGAGTTTGCCAAAAGACACCTGAAGACTCTCAGACCATGAATAAAGATTCTCTGGTCTGATGAAACCAAGATTGAACTCTTTGGCCTGAATGTCAAGCTTCACGTCTGGAGGAAACCTGGCACCATCCTTACGTTGAAGCATGGTGGTGGCAGCATCATGCTGTGGGGATGTTTTTCAGCGGCAGGGACTGGGAGACTAGTCAGGATTGAGGCAAAGATGAACGGAGCAAAGTACAGAGAGATCCTTACATTTACATTTTAGTCATTTAGCCGACGCTCTTATCCAGAGCGACTTACAGTTAGTGCATAATTTTTTTTTTTCATACCCCCTGTGGGAATCGAACCCACAACCCTGCCGTTGCAAACGCCATGCTCTATCAACTGAGCTACATCCCTGATGAAAACCTGCTCCAGAGCGCTCAGGACCTCAGACTGGGGTGAAGGTTCACCTTCAAACACCTTCCAACAGGACAATGACCATAAGCACACATCCAAGACAACGCAGGAGTGGCTTCAGGACAAGTCTCTGAATGTCCTTGAGTGGCCCAGCCAGAGCCCGGACTTGAACCCGATCGAACATCTCTGGAGAGACCTGAAAATAGCTGTGCAGCGACGCTCCCCATCTAACCTGACAGAGCTTGAGAGGATCTGCAGAGAAGAATGGGAGAAACTCCCTAAATACAGGTGTGCCAAGCTTGTAGCATCATATCCAAGAAGACTCAAGACTGTAATCGCTGCCAAAGGTGCTTCAACAAAGTACTGAGTAAAGCGTCTGAATACTTACGTAAATGTGATATTTATATATTATATATTTTATAAATTAGCAAACATTTCTAAAAACCTGATTTTGCTTTGTCATTATGAGGTAATGTGTGTAGATTGATGAGAAATAAAACACAATTTAATCCATTTAAGAATAAGGCTATAACCTAACAAAATGTGGAAAAGGTCAAGGGGTCTGAATACTTTTCGAAGGCACTATAAATTGAACATAAAAGTGTCACTGACAATAATCAAAACGAAAGAGTTGGGGTTTTAGGATGGGTTCTGAAAGACACTTATGGGGGTGTCCACTGACAGTTGACTAGTAATAACAACTGGGACCACCATGATCGCCCACTATATTTGCCCACTAAGAGCCAAACAAAACTAAAATACACACCAAACTTAAAAAGAGGACGCAAACCAAAAAGCTTGAGAAAAACAAAAAACAGGGAAGATCAGACAAAGTAATGTTTTTCTAAAAATCAAATAGGGAGAGCCAACTAAAAGTATGGCCCTCTACATCTCTCAAGACAACTGGAGCACTGGGCCAGCTACTCTTAAATATCACCTGGGCCAGCACAGGTGAAACACCTTCCCACTAATGAGATGGCAACCAGCACAGGTGTAACACATACTGACTAACGAGGTGACACCAATCGGTGCGCCTTACGTGCTAATGAGCTATAAGTCCAACCTCAAAACATACATGGAAAACTCTAACCCATAACAAAACCATAACCCCACCGCCACCATGGGGCTGTTCACAACATTGACATCAGCAAACTGCTCGCCCACACCATAACCCCACCGCCACCATGGGGCTGTTCACAACGTTGACATCAGCAAACCGCTCGCCCACACCATAACCCCACCGCCAACATGGGGGCACTCTGTTCACAACGTTGACGTCAGCAAACCGCTCGCCCACACCATAACCCCACCGCCACCATGGGGCTGTTCACAACGTTGACATCAGCAAACCGCTCGCCCACACCATAACCCCACCGCCACCATGGGGGCACTCTGTTCACAACGTTGACGTCAGCAAACCGCTCGCCCACACCATAACCCCACCGCCACCATGGGGCTGTTCACAACGTTGACTTCAGCAAACCGCTCGCCCACACCATAACCCCACCGCCACCATGGGGCTGTTCACAATGTTGACATCAGCAAACCGCTCGCCCACACCATAACCCCACCGCCACCATGGGGCTGTTCACAACGTTGACATCAGCAAACCGCTCACCCACACCATAACCCCACCGCCACCATGGGGCACTCTGTTCACAACGTTGACATCAGCAAACTGCTCGCCCACACCACACGATATTGTGAGGCCGGTTGGACGTACTGCCAAATTCCCTAAAACGAGGTTGGAAGCGGCTTATGGTCGAGAAATTAACATTAACTTCTCTGGCAACAGCTCTGGTGAACATTCCTGCAGTCAGCATGCCAATTGCACGCTCCCTCAAAACATGAGACATCTGTGGCATTGTGTTGTGTGACAAAACTGCACATTTTAGATTGGCCTTTTATTGTCCCCAGCACAAGGTGCACCTGTGTAATGATCATGCTGTTTAATCAGCTTCTTGATATGCCACGCCTGTAAGGTGGATGGATGATCTTGGCAAAGGAGAAAAGCTCACTAACAGTGATGTAAACAAATTTGTGCCCAAAATTTGAGAGAAATAAGCTTTTTGTGCGTATGGAACATTTCTGGGATCTTTTATTTCAGCTCATGAAACATGGAACAGTCACTTTACATGTTGCGTTTCTATTTTAGTTCAGAGTAGTAGTGAGATCATCAGAGAGAAAGGATTTATTTTACTGTTATTGTTTCTGACACGTACAACCTGACATTATGTCAGCAGCATATTCTCAAACCTTAAACCTTTTGCAGCTCTGTAGCAGCTCGTAAAGCAGACCCTCACCCAACACAATACTACAGCCAATTATATTTCAAATGGCAGGGGATTTCAGAAATGTGAAACGTTGGTTCCCTGGATATCCACCTCACACCGCCTCTAACTGACAGAACATGAACATGATGTTTTAAAGCCCTTTCTCCACAACGTTCATGGACAGAAATGTATTTCTCATATCAAAACTATTGACTGAAAACACTCCGACTGTTCATTGTAAATATAGGAATTTGGTGAGTGGGGTAAAACAACGTGTCTGTATTTTAATTTGACGAGTGCATTATACATGTGCATGGTTTGACATTTGATGAAACAACCTTAACGTCAATCAGATCTGCTTAAGGCTTAGGTTGAGTGTAGCTCCTTGTCTGATTGTTGACATTATGTATACAAACTCTGTTAACTATTGTGTTTGTGACTGGTCAACACATAATGTAGAAAGACAAGGCTTTTTATTTTCTTCAAATGAAGGGTTAGGGTTAGGGTTAACACATGATGTAGAGAGACAGGGTTAGGGTTAAGGTTTGGGTTAGGGTCAACACATGATGTAGAGAGACAGGGTTAGGGTTAAAGCCCTTACCATTACCAACATCCTGATGAAATAATACCAACTTTTACTGAAATCTATTCCACCTCTAGGGTTAAAGCCTTTACCATTACCAACATCCTGATGAAATAATACCAACTTTTACTGAAATCTATTCCACCTCTAGGGTTAAAGCCCTTACCATTACCAACATCCTGATGAAATAATACCAACTGTTACTGAAATGTATTCGACCGCTGCTCTTTTTTAGAACCTAGGGTTAAAGCACCCTAACCCTAACCAAATGAAAAGCCAGTCAGTCTTTGGATTTATTTGTTCTGGTCGGCCACAATCACCCTGCCCTCTGACCCCTGGTCCCATTAATCAATGTAACTCTGAATGGCTTAGTAAAGCATGTGGCAGATGCCCCTCCAACAAGCTGTCTACAACTGTCTAAACCACTTGAAAGTCATTAGCGTTAAGAGATCTATAGAGGAGTAAATGGAGGTTGAAACCTAAACAGAGACGGGGGGATTGTAGAATGGCTGCGCAATCTGCTCTGGCCTTCTGGGACACGGAGAGAAGAGGGACACTGTTACACTGCTACTGGGGTGGTCAGCTGGATGGGCAGGGAGGGGAGGGGGAGAGAGAGAGAGCGAGAGAGACAGAGAGATAGAGAGAGTCAGATAGAGTGTGCAAACTGAGTGTACAAAGCATTAGGAACACCATCCTGATATTGAGCTGCATGAATGTCCTTAGGGTGCACCTGGTACCTAATACCATACCCCGTTCAAAGGCACTTAAACATTTTGTCTTGCCCATTCACCCTCTGAATGGAACACATACACAATCCATGTCTCAATTGTCTCAAGGCTTAAAAATCCTTCTTTAACATGTCTCCTCCCCTTCATCTACACTGATTGAAGTGGATTTAACAGGTGACATCAATAAGGGATCATAGCTTTTAGCTGGATTCACCTGGTCAGTCTATGTCATGGAAGAGCATAGTTCCTAATGTTTTGTCCATTCAGTATATGTGTGTGTTAGGTGGGGGGCCTCTCAGACAGCACTCTCATAGAAGGACCCTGTACCCCACACACAGAGTAAGGTATGAACGGAGGGATGGATGCATGGATGGGTAAGAGAGGACAGTTTCCATCTTGAAGGTATTGATTATTTGAGCCAGAAGAGCCACCAGACGCCACGAGGGCTGCTAGAGTTTCATCTAGCCTGTTTAAAGCTGTCTCAGCTCTCCCTCTCTCCTCCTCTCCTCTCCTCTCCCCCTCGTCCTAGAGTTTCATCTAGCCTGTTTAAAGATGTCTCAGCTCTCCCTCTCTCCTCCTCTCCTCTCCTTCACCCTAGAGTTTCATCTAGCCTGTTTAAAGATGTCTCAGCTCTCCCTCTCTCCTCCTCTCCTCTCCTTCGCCCTAGAGTTTCATCTAGCCTGTTTAAAGCTGTCTCAGCTCTCCCTCTCTCCTCCTCTCCTCTCCTTCGACCTAGAGTTTCATCTAGCCTGTTTAAAGCTGTCTCAGCTCTCCCTCTCTCCTCTCCTCCTCTCCTCTCCTTCACCCTAGAGTTTTATCTAAAGTCTAACAAAACAGCTCCCACAATCTTTTTATCATCAATATCTCTCAGCCAATCATCAGTCATTTGTGTAAGTGCTGTGCTTGTTGAATGTCCTTCCCTATAAGTGTGCTAAATGTCTGTTGTCAATTTGTTTCCAGTAAAATAGCATTGTATCTGGTCAAACACCGTTTTTTCCAAAAGTTTACTAAGGGTTGGTAACAGGCTGAATGGTCGGCTATTTGAGCAAGTAAAGGGGGCTTTACTATTCTTGGGTAGCGGAATTTATTTTGCTTCCCTCCAAGCCTGAGGGAACACACTTTCTAGTATGCTTAGATTGAATACATTGCAAAAAGGAGTGGCAACATCATCCGCTATTATCCTCAGTAAATGTCAATGCACGTTGTCAGACGTGGCTTGTCATTGATGATAGACAACAATAATTGTTTCACCTCTTCCACACTCACTTTACAGACTAATTTGCCATTCCTTTTGCCTCATCCCTCTCAACCATACCATTTTTTTTATTCCTCATCAATCCACGGGGATTCAACAGTTTTTACAGTCATTTTCTTAATGGGTGCATGCTTATTAGTAACTGGAATAAGCAATTTCATAAATGTGTCAAGTGCAGCGTCTGGTTGCTCCTCATTACACACCACAGACCAACAAATATTCTTTACATCAACAACATAGGAATCACAACAAATTGTATTGTATGACCTTTTATACACAATATTAGTCCCAGCCTTTGGAACTTTGGTTTTCCTAGATATGGCTACTATATTGTGATCACTGCAGCCGATGGATTTGCATACTGCTTTAAAGCAAATTTCTGCAGCATTAGTAAAGCTGTGATCAATACATGTTGATGATTTCATTCCTGTGCTGTTTGTAACTACCCTGGTAGGTTGATTGATAACCTGAACCAGGTTGCAGGCCCTAGTTACAGTTTGAAGCTTTCTCTTGAGTGGGCAGCCTGATGAAAGCCAGTCAATATTTAAATCACCCCAAAAATATACCTCTCTGTTGATATCACATACATTATCAAGCATTTCACACATGTTATCCAGATTTTTATTTTGTATTTATTTTTATTTCACCTTTATTTAACCAGGTAAGCCAGTTGAGAACAAGTTCTCATTTACAACTGCGACCTGGCCAAGATAAAGCAAAGCAGTGCGATAAAAACAACAACACAGAGTTACATATGGGGTAAACAAAACATAAAGTCAAAAATACAACAGAAAATATATATACAGTGTGTGCGAATGTAGTAAGTTATGGAGGTAAGGCAATAAATAAATAGGCCATAGTGCAAAAAATGTTACAATTTCGTAATTAACACTGGAATGATAGATGTGCAAAAGATGATGTGCAAATAGAGATACTGGGGTGCAAATTAGCAAAATAAATAACAATATGGGGATGAGGTAGTTGGGTGGGCTAATTTCAGAATGGCTGTGTACAGGTGCAGTGATCGGTAAGCTGCTCTGACAACTGACGCTTAAAGTTAGTGAGGGAGATAAGAGTCTCCAGCTTCAGAGATTTTTGCAGTTCGTTCCAGTCATTGGCAGCAGAGAACTGGAAGGAATGGCGGCCAAAGGAGGTGTTGGCTTTGGGGATGACCAGTGAGATATACCTGCTGGAGCGCAGACTATGGGTGGGTGTTGCTATGGTGACCAGTGAGCTAAGATAAGACGGGGATTTGCCTAGCAGTGATTGACCTGGAACCAGTGGGTTTGGCGACGAATATGTAGTGAGGGCCAGCCAACAAGAGTGTACAGGTCACAATGGTGGGTAGTATATGGGGCTTTGGTGACAAAACGGATGGCACTGTGATAGACTACATCCAATTTGCTGAGTAGAGTGTTGGAGGCTAATTTGTAAATGACATCGCCGAAGTCAAGGATCGGTAGGATAGTCAGTTTTACGAGGGCACGTTTGGCAGCATGAGTGAAGGAGGCTTTGTTGTGAAATAGGAAGCCGATTCTAGATCTAACTTTTGATTGGAGATGCTTAATGTGAGTCTGGAAGGAGAGTTTACAGTCTAACCAGACACCTAGGTAGTTGTAGTTATCCACATACTCTAGGACAGACTCGCCGAGAGTAGTGATTCTAGTCTGGTGGGTGGGTGCAAGCAGCGTTCGGTTGAAGAGCATGCATTTAGTTTTACTAGTGTTTAAGAGCAGTTGGAGGCTACGGAAGGAGTGTTGTATGGCTTTGAAGCTCGTTTGGAGGTTTGTTAACATAGTGTCCAATGAAGGGCCAGATGTATACAAAATGGTGTCGTCCTTTATTAGATACTGACTGTTAGCACTTGGTGGTCTATAGCAGCTTCCCACCAGAATGGGCTTTAGGTGAGGCAGATGAACCTATATTACTTCAACAGTGTTTAACATGAGATAAGCTTTACAGGAATGTGGTTCTGAATATAGACTGCAACACCTCCACCATTTGGCATTTCTGTATTTTCTGTAGATGTTATAACCATGTATTGCTACCACTGTATCATCAAAGGTATTATCTAAGTGAGTTTCAGAGATTGTCAGAATATGAATGTCATCTGTTACTTGCAAATTGTCAATAAATGTTACATCCACAGAGCTGCAATAGTCACATAGCCAGTTATGGAGCATATCACTTCGTGGCTGAGTCATTGCTCCTAAACGTTTCCACTTCACAATAACAGCACTTATAGTTGACCGGGGAAGTTCTAGCAGGGCAGAAATTTGACGAACTGACTTGTTGGAAAGGTGGAGTTCTATTATGGTGCAACATTGAGTCACTGAGCTCTTCAGTAAAGCCATTCTACTGCCAATGTTTGTCTATGGAGATTGCATGGCTGTGTGCTCTACTTTACACACCTGTCAGCAACGGGTGTGGCTGAAATAGTTGAATCCACTAATTCGAAAGGGTGTCCACGTACTTTTGTGTATATATAGTGTATCCAGTGCATTCGTAAAGTATCCAGAACCCTTGACTTTTTCCACATTTTGTTACGTTACAGCCTTATTCTAAAATTGATTAAACTTTTTTTTTTCTCATCAATCTACACACAATACCCCATAATGACAAAGCAAAAACTGGTTTTTAGAAATGTTAGCTAATTTATTAAAATAAAGCAGAAATACCTTATTTACATAAGTATAAAGAACTTATGCTATGAGATGTGAAAATTGAGCTCAGGTGCATCCTGTTTCCATTGATTGTGACACTCTGGCTCTAGGACTTGTATATGTGAGCCAGGGTGTATCTCATTTGGTGGTGTTGGGGATGGGTGAGTTTCATTTTGTTTGTATTTTGTGGTGATTGGTTTATGACTCCCAATCGGAGGTAACGAGTGTCAGCTGTCGGCTCGTTATCTCTGATTGGGAGCCATATATATTCTGTGTGTTTTCTCCTTTGTTTTGTGGGTTATTGTTTCTGTGTTGCTGTTAGTCTGTTTCAGTATTTGAACTTCACGTATCGTCATTTGTTGTTTTCTTCGTGGTTGCTTTAATTAATAAAGTCATCATGTTCACTCCACGCGCTGCGTATTGGTCCGCTCCTTTAGACGATCGTGACAGAATAACCCACCACAAAAGGACCAAGCAGCGTAACAAGCGGCAACAGGACCTACCTACACAGGAGTTATGGACGCCTCCTAAGGATTTTTGGACATGGGAGGAGATTCGGGCTGGAAAGGGTCCTTGGGCACAACCGGAGGAATATCACCGCCCTCGTGAAGAGCTGGAGGCAGCCAAAGCCGAGAGGAGGTGGTACGAGGAGGCAGCGCGAAGGCGAGGCTGGAAGCCCGTGGAAGAGAGGCAACCCCAAGAAATTTTTTTGGGGGGGCACATGGCTTGGGCAGCTGGGCAGCAGGAGGCTGCCACAAGGAGAAAAGGAGAGAAGGCTAACGGAGTACGGGAGCCATTGGCGAGTGGAAGGAGGGAAGTGTGTGTGGCACGGCGTGAAGGACTGATGTGTGTTGCCAGTCCGGTCCGGCCCGTTCCTGATCCTCGGTTGAGGCCAGTGGTGTGTGTTCCCGGTACGGACCGGCCTGTTCCTACTCCAAGCGCCAGGTCCACGGTGTGCTTCGCCAGCTCAGCCCGGCCTGTTCCTACTCCACGCACCAGGGATACGGTGCGCTTCGCCAGCCCAGCCCGGCCTGTTCCTACTCCACGCACCAGGGATACGGTGCGCTTCGCCAGCCCGGCCCGGCCTGTTCCGGCCACTCGCACCAGGGATACGGTGCGCGTCGCCAGCCCAGCCCGGCCTGTTCCTGCTCTCCGCACTAGGCGTGAGGTGAGTCCCCAGGGTCCAGCATGCCCTGTTCCGGCTCCCCGCACTAGGCGTTATGGGAGTCCCCAGGGTCCAGCATGCCCTGTTCCGACTCCCCGCACTAGCCCTGAGATGCGTGTCCTCAGCCCGGTACCTCCAGTTCCGGCACCACGCATCAGGCCTACGGTGCGTCCCCAGGGCCAAGCATGCCCTGTTGCTGCTTCCCGCACTAGCCCTGAGATGCGTGTCCTCAGCCCGGTACCTCCAGTTCCGGCACCACGCATCAGGCCTACGGTGCGTCCCCAGGGTCCAGCATGCCCTGTTGCTTCTCCCCGCACTAGCCCTGAGATGCGTGTCCTCAGCCCGGTACCTCCTGTTCCGGCACCACGCACCAGGCCTACGATGCGCCTCAGACGGCCAGAGTCTGCCGTCTGCCCAACGGGGCCTGAACTGCCCGTCTGCCCAAAGCCTGCAAAGCCGCCCGTCTGCCATGAGCCATCAGAGCCGTCCGCCAGACCGGAGCCGCTAGAGCCTTCTGCCAGACAGGATCAGCCAGAGCCTTCCGCCAGACAGGATCAGCCAGATCCGTCAGTCGGCCATGAGCAGCCAGATCCGTCAGCCAGCCATGAGCAGCCAGATCCGTCAGCCAGCCATGAGCAGCCAGATCCGTCAGCCAGCCATGAGCAGCCAGATCCGTCAGCCAGCCATGAGCAGCCAGATCCGTCAGCCAGCCATGAGCAGCCAGATCCGTCAGCCAGCCATGAGCAGCCAGATCCGTCAGCCAGCCATGAGCAGCCAGATCCGTCAGCCAGCCATGAGCAGCCCAGCCAGGATCCGCCAGAGCCGTCCAGCCAGGATCCGCCAGAGCCGTCCAGCCGGGATCCGCCAGAGCCATCCAGCCGGGATCCGCCAGAGCCGTCCAGCCGGGATCCGCCAGAGCCGTCCAGCCGGGATCCGCCAGCCAGCCAGGATCCGCCAGAGCCAGCCAGCCAGGATCCACCATTTAGTCAGGTGCTGCCCCTTATCCCGGTGCTGCCCCTTAGGCCGATGCTGCCCCTTAGTCCGGTGTTGCCCCTTAGTCCAGGTGGGGTTAGTTGGAGGGTGGTCATTGGGAGGAGGCTACCGAAGCAGGTTAGGACTGTGGTGGGATGGGGACCACGACCAGGGGCAGAACCGCCACCGTGGACAGACGCCCACCCAGACCCTCCCCTAGACTGTGGGCTGGTGCGCCCGGAGTTCGCACCTTTAGGGGGGGGTACTGTGACACTCTGGCTCTAGGACTTGTATATGTGAGCCAGGGTGTATCTCATTTGGTGGTGTTGGGGATGGGTGAGTTTCATTTTGTTTGTATTTTGTGGTGATTGGTTTATGACTCCCAATCGGAGGTAACGAGTGTCAGCTGTCGGCTCGTTATCTCTGATTGGGAGCCATATATATTCTGTGTGTTTTCTCCTTTGTTTTGTGGGTTATTGTTTCCGTGTTGCTGTTAGTCTGTTTCAGTATTTGAACTTCACGTATCGTCATTTGTTGTTTTCTTCGTGGTTGCTTTAATTAATAAAGTCATCATGTTCACTCCACGCGCTGCGTATTGGTCCGCTCCTTTAGACGATCGTGACATTGATCATCCTTGAGATGTTTTTACAACTTCATTGGAGTTCACCTGTGGTAAATGTAATTGATTGAACATGATTTGGAAAGGCACACGCCTGCCTCTACGAGATCCCACAGTTGAGAGTGCATGTCATAGCAAAAAACAAGCCATGAGGTCGAAGGAATTGTCTGTAGAGCTCTGAGACAGGATTGTGTTGAGGCACAGATCTGGGGAAGGGTACCAAAACATTTCTGCAGAATTGAAGGTCCCCGAGAACACAGTGGCCTCCATCATTCTTAAATGGAAGATGTTTGGAACCACCAAGACTCTTCCTAGAGCTTGCCACCCCGCCAAACTGAACAATCGGGGGAGAAGGGCCTTGGTCAGGGAGGTGACCAAGAACCCGATGGTCACTCTGACAGAGCTCCAGAGTTCCTCTGTGGAGATGGGAGAACCTTCCAGAAGGACAACCATCTCTGCAGCACTACACCAATCAGGCCTTTATGGTAGAGTGGCCAGTCGGAAGCCACTCCTCAGAAAAAGGCACATGACAGCGCGCTTGGAGTTTTCTAAAACCACCTGAAGAACTCTCAGACTATGAGAAACACGATTCTCTGGTCTGATGAAACCAAGATTGAAATCTTTGGCCTGAATGCCAAGTGTCACGTCTGGAGGAAACCTGGCACCATCCCTACGGTGAAGCATGGTGGTAACAGCATCATGCTGTGGGGATGTTTTTCAGCGGCATGGACTGGGAGACTAGTCAGGATTAAGGCAAAGAGGAACGGAGCAAAGTACAGAGAGATCCTTGATGAAAACCTGCTCCAGAGCGCTCAGGACCTCAGATTGGGGCAAAGGTTCACCTTCCAACAAGACAATGACCTTAGCACACAGCCAAGACAACGCAGGCGTTGCTTCATGACAAGTCTCTGAATGTCCTTCAGTGGCCCAGCCAGAGCCCGGACTTGAACCCGATCGAACATCTCTGGAGAGAATTGAAAATAACTGTGCAGCAACGCTCCCCGATCCAATGTGACAGAGCTTGAGAGGATCTGAAGAGAAGAATGGGAGAAACTCCCCAAATACAGGTGTGCCAAGCTTGTAGCGTCCTACCCAAGAATACTCGAGGCTGTAATCACTGCCAAAGGTGCTTCAACTAATTATTGAGTAAAGGGTCTGAATACTTATGTAAATGTGATATTTCCTTTTTTTCTTTTTCTTCTTTTTCTTTTTTAACCTGTTTTTGCGTTGTCATTATGGGGTATTGTGTGTAGATTGATGAGAGGGAAAAAAACGATTTAATTCATTTTAGAGTAAGGCTGTAACCTAACACAATGTGGAAAAAGTCAAGGGGTCTGAATATTTTCCAAATGCACTGTAAATGCCTGTACTATTTTAATTTTGGTGAATCTCTTATACAATGGATTAAAGTTATGTACTGTATAGCAACCCCGGTGTACAATAGCAAATAATGGTTACTTCTCCGAAAGTATTGAACTGTCAAGAGGAGTAAAACAAGGCTGTCCACTGTCTCCATATCTATTTGTTATGGCCATTGAAATGCTAGCTATTAAAATCAGATCCAACAAGAACATCAAGGGGTTAGAAATCCATTGTCCCAACTTCGGCAAACAATTTTCAAATTCTCTCTGAAGTTTCTAGCCACAAGCATAAGCTAGCTAGCTGGGAAGGGCTCATCGAATCCGTTCATCTCCACTCGACTCCTGCTGCACAACATACAGTACGTCATCAATTTGGGTGTGTCTGTATAGCCTCTCCCGCTGAGACTGGACTCACTCAACTGTTAAGGTACTTAGTGGCGAATTTAGCATGTAAATCTTGGTTGTGCAAACTCCCCCCAAAATATATGTATTGAGGGAAAAAAGTATTTGATCCAGTGCTGATTTTGCACGTTTGCCCACTGACAAAGAAATGATCAGTCTATAATTTTAATGGTAGGTTTATTTGAACAGTGAGAGACAGAATAACAACTAAAAAATCCAGAAAAACGCATGTCAAAAACGTTATAAATTGATTTGCATTTTAGTGAGGGAAATAAGTATTTGACCCCCTCTCAATCAGAAAGATTTCTGGCTCCCAGGTGTCTTTTATACAGGTAACGAGCTGAGATTTGGAGCACACTCTTAAAGGGAGTGCTCCTAATCTCAGCTTGTTACCTGTATAAAAGACACCTGTCCACAGAAGCAATCAATCAATCAGATTCCAAACTCTCCACCATGGCCAAGACCAAAGAGCTCTCCAAGGATGTCAGGGACAAGATTGTAGACCTACACAAGGCTGGAATGGGCTACAAGACCATCGCCAAGCAGCTTGGTGAGAAGGTGACAACAGTAGGTGCGATTATTCGCAAATGGAAGAAACACAAAATAACTGTCAATCTCACCTCGTGGAGTTGCAATGATCATGAGAACGGTGAGGAATCAGCCCAGAACTACACGGGAGGATCTTGTCAATGATCTCAAGGCAGCTGGGACCATAGTCACCAAGAAAACAATTGGTAACACCCTACGCCGTGAAGGACTGAAATCCTGCAGCGCCCGCAAGGTCCCCCTGCTCAAGAAAGCACATATACAGGGCCGTCTGAAGTTTGCCAATGAACATCTGAATGATTCAGAGGAGAACTGGGTGAAAGTGTTGTGGTCAGCTGAGACCAAAATCGAGCTCTTTGGCATCAACTCAACTCGCCGTGTTTGGAGGAGGAGGAATGCTGCCTATGACCCCAAGAACACCATCCCCACCGTCAAACATGGAGGTGGAATCATTATGCTTTGGGGGTGTTTTTCTGCTAAGGGGACAGGACAACTTCACAGCATCAAAGGGACGATGGACGGGGCCATGTACTGTCATATCTTGGGTAAGAACCTCCTTCCCTCAGCCAGGGCATTGAAAATGGATTGTGGATGGGTATTCCAGCATGACAATGACCCAAAACACACGGCCAATGCAACAAAGGAGTGGCTCAAGAAGAAGCACATTAATGTCCTGGAGTGGCCTAGCCAGTCTCCAGACCTTAATCCCATAGAACATCTGTGGAGGGAGCTGAAGGTTCGAGTTGTCAAACGTCAGCCTCGAAACCTTAATGACTTGGAGAAGATCTGCAAAGAGGAGTGGAACAAAATCCTTCCTGAGATGTGTGCAAACCTGGTGGCCAACTACAAGAAATGTCTGACCTCTGTGATTGCCAACAAGGGTTTTGCCACCAAGTACTAAGTCATGTTTTGCAGAGGGGTCACATACTTATTTCCCTCATTAAAATGCAAATCAATTTATAACATTTTTGACATGCGTTTTTCTGGATTTCTTTGTTGTTATTCTGTCTCTCACTGTTCAAATAAACCTACCATTAAAATTATAGACTGATCATGTCTTTGTCAGTGGGCAAATGTACAAAATCAGCAGGGGATCAAATACTTTTTTCCCTCACTGTATATGCATGCCTCCAAAGCCACAACACAACACTAAACAATACATTAATTAGACTATAATGGTGGCATACGGTGTCCAATGGCTGATGAGCACTGATACGTTTTATCTATAATTTCTCTTCATAATTTCTCTTCATATGACAAGGATTGAAAAGGATTTGCCAGTAGATTGTCGACTTGATTCATGATGATGACTTCTAGCTTGCTAGCTAAGATTTTGAAAATATGATGTTGACATGATCATTCCAATCAAAGCTCCTGTAGATATAATGTGATTTGACGTCATTTTATCTGTGGCCAATGACCTTGAGCCTTCTTGGATGGGCACTTCTAATGTAACTCTATGGCAGCACCCAAGGGGCTTGAATTTTTGAGCTCTCCCCGTAGATTTTGCGGTGACGTAGTGTCCCCATGAGTGACAAAACGCTGAGCCAATTACAGCGCAACTAGAGAACATTACAAACCCCTATGCTCCGCATTTTCCGATGGCTGCCCCACCACCACAGAAAGCACTGAGCTAGGCTGAAACACCTGCATTTTGGAACTGCCTTACTCAAGAAAGCAAAAAAAGAGACCATGTTTGTATGCGGCTTTGTTAACTGAATACATTTTTCATTTTCCCATTGTTTGCAAACTGATATGAGATATGTATTAATACCAAAATATTATACAAAACAGGAAGAAAAAAAATAATATATATATGTATATATATATATTCACTACCAGTCAAAAGTTTGGACACACCTACTCATTCAAGGGTTTTTCTTAATTTTTACAATTTTTTACATTGTAGAATAATAGTGAAGACATCAAAACTATGAAATAGCACATATGGAATCATGTAGTAACCAAAAACAAAATGTATTTTATATTTGAGATTCTTCAAATAGCCACCCTTTGCCTTGATGACAGCTTTGCACACTCTTGGCATTCTCTCAACCAGCTTCATGAGGTAGTCACCAGGAATGCATTTCAATTAACAGATGTGCCTTCTTAAAAGTTAATTTGTGGAATTTATTTTCTTAATGCGTTTGAGACAATCAGTTGTGTTGTGACAAGGTAAGGGTGTATACAGAAGATAGCCCTATTTGGTAAAAGACCAAGTAAATATTATGGCAAGAACAGCTCAAATAAGCAAAGAGAAACGTCAGTCCCTCATTACTTTAAGACATGAAGGTCAATCAATCCGGAAAATGTCAAGAACTTTGAAAGTTTATTCAAGTGAAGTCGCAAAAACCATCAAGCGCTATGATGAAACTGGCTCTCATTAGGACCGCCACAGGAATGGAAGACCCAGAGTTACCTCTGCTGCAGAAGATAAGTTAATTAGAGTTACCAGCCTCAGAAATTGCAGCCCAAATAAATGCTTCACAGATTTCATGTAACAGACACATCTCAACATCAACTCATCAGAAGGGACTGTGTGAATCAGGCCTTCATGGTCGAATTACTGCAAAGAAACAACTACTAAAGGACACCAATAAGAAGAAGAGACCTGCTTGGGCCAAGAAACACGAGCAATGGACATTAGACCAGTGGAAATTTGTCCTTTGGTCTGGAGTCCAAATTGGTTCAAACCGCCGTGTCTTTGTGAGACGCGGTGAGGGTGGACGGATGATATCCACATGTGTAGTTCCCACCGTAAAGCATGGAGGAGGAGGTGTTATGGTGTGGGGGTGTTTGCTCGTGACACTGTCTGTAATTTATTTAGAATTAAAGGCACACTTAACCAGAATGGCTACCACAGCATTCTGCAGCGATACACCATCCCATCTGGTTTGGGGTTAGTGGGACTATCATTTGTTTTTCAACAGGACAATGACCCAACACACCTCCAGGCTGTGTAAGGGCTATTTGACCAAGAAGGAGAGTGATGGAGTGCTGCATCAGATGACCTGGCCTCCACAATCCCCCGACCTCAACCAAGTATAGCCAAGTATAGGTCCAAGAGGCTTCTAAACAGCTTCTACCCCCAAGCCATAAGACTCCTGAACATCTAATGAAATGGTTACCCAGACTATTTGCATTGACCCCCCCCCCCCCCCCCCCCCCCCCCCCCCCCATCCCCCGTCCCCCTGTCTTTTACGCTGCTGCTACTTTCTGTTTATTATCTATGCATAGTCACTTTAATAGCTCTACCTTCATGTACATATTACCTCAATTACCTCGACTAACCGGTGCCCTCTCACATTGACTTGGTACCGGTACCCCCTCTATATAGCCTTGCTACTGTTATTTTACTGCTGCTCTTTAATTATTTGTAACTTTTATTTAGTATTATTTTATATTGTATTTTTTTGTGTTATTTTTTGGGGGTATTCTTTCTTAAAACTGCATTGTTGGTTAAGGGCTTGTAAGTAAGCATTTCACTGTTGTATTCGGCGCATGTGGCAAATACAATTTGATTTGATTAACTATTATTCTACAATGTAAAATATAGTACAAATTAAGAAAAACCCTTGAATGAGTAGGTGTCCAAACTTTGACTGGTACTGTACATTTAGCTAAACAGGTGGGGCTCAAAACAAGTGGAGCTCTGCCCTACCTGGCCTGAATGACGGGTCACCTCTGACGGTACTATGTTAAAGTGTTAAAGAGTGTCTCTCCATGGCTTAATGGCCTGCTATATATATAGAACAATGTGACATTACTTCAGTCAGTCTGATTTGCAAATTAATCAGGCTTGTTTAATATGTTTGTTTTTTACAAACGCTATTTTCGTGGGGATTATTGTATAGAAATATGAATGAATACTGAAAGTTGTTGTGGTTGTGGTCTTTATGTTAATACATAGCTGTCTATGTATATCCATGCTATAACACCGTTTGGGAGTGTCTTTTCCTCATGTTCTGGCCCTTTAGGACAATACTCCCTGCCACCAGCAGATGGCAGCTGATCTACTCTTTCACCAGCCTCTCCTCACTCCATCAAAAAAATATTCTCCTTCAGTTAATTATATTTAGCCGGTAACTTGTTACAATTCAGGGAACATACCACTAAACGTTATTAGAATAAAACTTAATAAAATAATATTAAATACATTGGTGTGTTATGATATTGATGCTGATGTTTGTGATAAAATAAAATCTTTGTTTTGTTTGCAAGCCTGTATTTTGAAAGACTTCCATGAGAATAAGATACACTTGGTTTCTTTATAATGAATAAATACATAACAAAAACCTACAAACTTTCCATGAACTAATTGTGTCCATTTCAGTCTACCTGGCTGTTTTAGTTTTATTAGAATCATTTCAGTCAACCTTGTTATTTTAGTTACATTAAAATAATTTCAGTCAACCTTGTTGTTGTAGTTACATTAAGGACAACCTTCCCCGGGGTGGTTTGTGTACGAGGTCACTCCGGTCGACATTCCTCCGTCACAAAGCAACACTACAATGTAAATTCCCTCCTCATCTGATCCTACCCAAAATGCCCCTCTGGTCAGCAGTAATAGAATGACCTTTTCTCCCATTGCTTTTCAACCTTTCAACAACAACAACAATCCACCTTGATCTGTTTTTTACCATCCATGTATAATACTGAATACCATTGTCATCACAATCATCTTCCAGTAACAAAATAAAATAAAATACTAGGATGAGAAAACACAAGGATGAGAAAACACTAGGATGAGAAAACACAAGGATGAGAAAACACAAGGATGAGAAAACACAAGGATTGACCAGAAATTCCCCAAAAAGCAAGCAAGTAAGTGTCCTTGCTGACCTCCAGGAGCGTAACTTGGATAGGCCCAGGCTTTCCCCCCATGGCTGCTGCCTCTCCTCTTCTCTCTCTCCACTCTCTCCTCAACCTCTTCCCTCTCCCCTCTTCACTCTTCCCTCTCCCCGTTCATAGGGGTTTTCTGATTTGGGTCCGTCCTCTGTCCTCTCTCCTCCGTGACCTGGAAACCGATAAGTGGTGGAGTGGTCAAGGAGTGTATCAATTCGTTAGTAGACAAACAGAAGACTCCTCCCCTCTTCAATAGCATCCTTTTGGCCAGGAAGCACAAGTGTAACCTACCATGGAAGAGTTTCGATATTTGCCACACCCCCTTTGAATCAGCTGTTTTATTGTCCGAGGAGAAAACCATACACGTAAAAAAAAAACATAATGCTACTTGTCGTTTTATCTAGAACATTTCTTGCACAACTAATCTCTCCATGGCCAGAATATCCTAATGCCCACCGTGATGATGTTCTGAACTTTCACATTATCTCCCTCTCTGTCTGTCTGAACCTGAACACTAGCCCTGATCTATCACATTATCTCTCTCTGTCTGTCTGAACCTGAACACTAGCCCTGATATTTCACATTACAGTGATCCCTCGCCACTTCGCGGTTCACTTATCGCGTGAACCGCGAAGTGAGAACCGGGAGTGAGTTTTTAGCGAATCAGAATGCATTGTGCTCTGCATTCTGATTCGCTAAAAACTCACTCCCGCTTCTTGTATCAAAACATGCTACGAATTGTGCTATCATTTTGTCGTCTCGTGCAGTTATGTGTACGTACATAAAACAGCTTGGCAAATTTACATTAAGTTGGCCAAATTATCTTGTAATTTCGAACATCTTCTAAACCCATAATGTCGACGAAACGGCCTACACGTGAGTCACTGTATTTGTATACATGTAATAGTTGCTAATTGTAAAAAAAAAAAAGTTTTCTATTTCGCGGATTTCACTTATCGCGGGTCATTTTCGGAACGTAACCCCCGCGATAAACGAGGGATTACTGTATCTCCAATCTCTGTCTGACATCAAACTTTTCAAAACACATTTAGGATTTGAGCAATTTAAACTACTTAATAGTGGGTTGAAAATAAAAATGTAACTTCAGTAACAACATCAGCAAACTGTTCTGTCTTGACATCTCTAGTACCCTTTACAGACAGATGTTATGGTATGTTGCCTGTAAAAACAAATCAGGCAATGTTTTTTTAACCCAATTCATACAGTCCCATTTCTACCACATTCTTGCCTCGATAAGCCTTTTATACTTTATCTCCTGTTCACAAAATCCATTACTAATTAGTTTAGGCAGGTCCTAAGAAACATTATAAGACTAATTAAATGTATTTACAATAGAATGGCATATGTTAAGTTGAATGATGTTAACCGTCTGAGCAGCCAATTGGCTATACGTTGTGTTGCTACCATGTTGTGTACACATTGTGTTGCTACCATGTTGTTTTCACATTGTGTTGCTACCATGTTGTTTTCACGGTGTGTTGCTGCCATGTTGTGTACACGTTGTGTTGCTACCATGTTGTTTTCATGTTGGGTTGCTACCCATGTTGTTTTCATGTTGGGTTTGCTACCTATGTTGTTTTCACGTTGTGTTGCTACCAATGTTGTGTACAACGTTGTGATGCTACCATGTTGTGTACACGTTGTGTTGCTACCATGTTGTTTTCACATTGTGTTGCTACCATGTTGTTTTCACATTGTGTTGCTGCCATGTTGTGTACACGTTGTGTTGCTACCATGTTGTTTTCGTGTTGGGTTGTTACCATGTTGTTTTCATGTTGGGTTGCTACCATGTTGTTTTCACGTTGTGTTGCTACCATGTTGTGTACACGTTGTGATGCTACCATGTTGTGTACACGTTGTGTTGCTACCATGTTGTTTTCACATTGTGTTGCTACCATGTTGTTTTCACGTTGTGTTGCTACCATGTTGTGTACAAGTTGTGTTGCTACCATGTTGTGTACACGTTGTGTTGCTACCATGTTGTGTACACGTTGTGTTGCTACCATGTTGTTTTCACGTTGTGTTGCTACCATGTTATTTTCACATTCTGTCACTACCATGTTGTTTTCACGTTGTGTTGCTACCATGTTGTGTACAAGTTGTGTTGCTACCATGTTGTGTACACGTTGTGTTGCTACCATGTTGTGTACACGTTGTGTTGCTACCATGTTGTTTTCACGTTGTGTTGCTACCATGTTGTTTTCATGTTGGGTTGCTACCATGTTGTTTTCATGTTGGGTTGCTACCATGTTGTTTTCACATTGTGTTGCTACCATGTTGTGTACACGTTGTGATGCTACCATGTTGTTTACATGTTTGGTTGCTACCATGTTGTTTTCATTTTGTGTTGCTACCATGTTGTGTACACGTTGTGTTGCTACCATGTTGTTTACACGTTGTGTTGCTACCATGTTGTGTACACGTTGTGTTGCTACCATGTTGTTTTCACATTGTGTTGCTACCATGTTGTTTTCACGTTGTGTTGCTACCATGTTGTGTACAAGTTGTGTTGCTACCATGTTGTGTACACGTTGTGTTGCTACCATGTTGTGTACACGTTGTGTTGCTACCATGTTGTTTTCACGTTGTGTTGCTACCATGTTATTTTCACATTCTGTCACTACCATGTTGTTTTCACGTTGTGTTGCTACCATGTTGTGTACAAGTTGTGTTGCTACCATGTTGTGTACACGTTGTGTTGCTACCATGTTGTGTACACGTTGTGTTGCTACCATGTTGTTTTCACGTTGTGTTGCTACCATGTTGTTTTCATGTTGGGTTGCTACCATGTTGTTTTCATGTTGGGTTGCTACCATGTTGTTTTCACATTGTGTTGCTACCATGTTGTGTACACGTTGTGATGCTACCATGTTGTTTACATGTTTGGTTGCTACCATGTTGTTTTCATTTTGTGTTGCTACCATGTTGTGTACACGTTGTGTTGCTACCATGTTGTTTACACGTTGTGTTGCTACCATGTTGTGTACACGTTGTGTTGCTACCATGTTGTTTACACGTTGTGTTGCTACCATGTTGTGTACACAATGTGTTGCTACCATGCTGTGTACACGTTGTGTTGCTACCATGTTGTTATCATGTTGGGTTGCTACCATGTTGTGTACACGTTGTGTTGCTACCATGTTGTGTACACGTTGTGTTCCTACCATGTTGTGTACACGTTGTGTCGCTACCATGTTGTTTTCATGTTGGGTTGATACCTTGCTACATCGGCAGGATAGAACGGCTGACTCCGGTAAGAAAAGGGGTGGCGGTCTGTGTATATTTGTAAACAACAGCTGGTGCACAAAATCTAATACTAAGGAAGTCTCGAGGTGTTTTGCTTGCCTGAGGTAGAGTATCTCATGATAAGCTGTAGACCATACTACTTACCAAGATAGTTTTCATCTATATTTTTTGTAGCTGTCTATCTACCACCAAAAACCGATTCTGGCACTAAGATTGCACTCAATGAGCAGTATAAGGCCATAAGCAAACAGGAACACGCTCATCAAGAGGCAGCGCTCCTAGTGCCCGGGGACTTTAATGCAGGAAAACTTAAATCTGTTTTACCTCATTTCTATCAGCATGTTAAATGTGCAACCAGAGGAAGAAAAAAACTCTAGACCACCTTTACTCCACACACAGAGACGCATACAAAGCTCTCCCTCGCCCTCCATTTGGCAAATCTGACCATAACCCTATCCTCCTGATTCCTGCTTATAAGCCAAAACTAAAGCAGGAAGCACCAGTGACTCGGTGTGGTCAGATGACGGTCAGATGGTCTGGTCAGATGACGCAGATGCTAATCTACAGGACTGTTTTGCTAGCACAGACTGGAATATGTTCCAGGATTCTTCAGATAGCATTGAGGAGTACACCACATCAGTCACTGGCTTCATCAATAAGTGCATCGATGACGTCGTCCCCACAGTGACCGTACGTACATATCCCAACCAGAAGCCATGGATTACAGGCAACATCCGCACTGAGCTAAAGGGTAGAGCTGCCGCTTTCAAGGAGCGGGACTCTAACCCGGATGCTTATAAGAAATCCCGCTATGCCCTCCGACGAACCATCAAACAGGCAAAGAGTCAATACAGGACTAAGATTGAATCGTACTACACCGGCTCTGACGCTCGTCGGATGTGGCAGGGCTTGAAAACTATTACAGACTACAAAGGGAAGCACAGCCGCGAACTGCCCAGTGACACAAGCCTACCAGACGAGCTAAATCACTTCTATGCTCGCTTAGAGGCAAGCAACACTG